ATCCTGTTGCCCCTTCCGAAGCATCGGCTTCCAGACGATATTGACCAATGTCATTTGGCAGTGCTAAGACGGCATCCTCCGCGATTCTCCTCTTCAACCCATCAAACGCCGCATGTTCATCCGGACCCCATGACCATCCTGCCTTCCCTGTCAGCCGCGTCAACGGCTTGGCGACCTCCGCATATCCCCGAACGAAACGTCGATAGAAGTTTGTGAATCCGAGGAAGGCTTGGGCTTGTTTGACGCTCTTTGGTTCCGGCCATTCCATCACGCCCTTGATCTTGACAGGGTCCATCCGCATCGAGTTGTGTCCAATGATTACACCCAGGTATTCGATTTCCGTGCGTTTGAACTGTTGATAAAATGGCTGAACCAGGAATTGAACCTGGGATCTCTGACTTGGATCGTCCAGTGCTCTAACCACTGAGCTATTCTGCCTTGGTGCTGGGATTCCCAACTCCAACACTCCCCCGGTATCACAGCACCATTGGCACTGTGCCTGTCAAGGACGGGGTGGCACCATTTATCATTAGGCACTCATCAGACTGCAGTGGTCCACGCTAGTGTGTTCCAGGCCGACTTATGTCCGTGAGTTGCTGCTACCATGTTGATAAAATGGCTGAACCAGGAATTGAACCTGGGATCTCTGACTTGGATCGTCCAGTGCTCTAACCACTGAGCTATTCTGCCTTGGTGCTGGGATTCCCAACTCCAACATGAACTCGCACTTTTCCGGCTTCAGGTATAATTTGTGCTTTTGGAGCAGCTCGAGTACCCGTTTGGTGATTCGTCGATGTTCATCCAGATTTTCTGTGAAGATCAGTATATCGTCCAGATAGACTACCACATGACCCTTGTTGATCAGTTCCCGGAGTATGTCGTTCATCATGTTTTGGAAAGTTGCCGGGGAATTCGTGAGACCAAAGAACATAACCAAGGGCTCGTAAAGTCCACGGTTTGTGCGAAACGCAGCCTTCCACTCATCGCCCTCTTTGATCCGTACGTTGTTGTATCCCCACCGGATGTCTAGCTTGGTGAAGAACTTGGCGCCGCACAGGTTGTGGACCAGCTCGGAAATCAGCGGTAGCGGGTACCAATTTCGGATCGTCATCTCATTCAGCTTCCGGTAATCTTGAACAGGCCGTAGCGAGCCATCCTTCTTCTTGACGAAGAAGAATGCTGATGCCATCGGTGATTTTGATGGCCTGATCTGTCCGCTGGCTAGGTTCTCTTGTAAGAACTCGTCGAGTTTGACCTGCTCGTTTCTCGATAAGGGGTACACCTTGCAGTCCACTGCTTTGGCGCCTGGTTTGAGCTCGATCGCATGATCCCATGCCCGTCGGTCCGGTAGCGAGTCGAATGATTCCTTGGCGAATACTTTGACGAATTCTCGGTATTGATCTGGAATCTTTCCCTCGGTCATTCTCTCCTTCTCCTTTTCCGCTTCTTCTGCAAATTTCTGCGCCGGCGTTTCCTTCAGCCGTAGGTCTACCTCCTTTCCAAAGTTGATCAACAAGATCGATTCTCCCTCTTCCAGATCCGGTGCACCCGCGTCCAGGTCAATTGCATCCATGTCAACCATCGCTTGGTGCTCCTCGTGACCCCTCATTTGACATTGCTCTGGGCATCGGCTGAATCTCATTGTCTGCTCCTGCCAATCCACCTCGGGGTTGTGTTCCGTCAGCCAATCCAGGCCGATGAAGATCCGAGCTTTTCCCAAACACGTCAGAAGGAACGTGCGTGTCTCTACATGAGGACCGATTCTCATTCTCAAGTCGACGTAGTGCGTGATCCGACCGCTGATGTTCTCGGTGTTGTCGGCGTTACAAGCCACAATGGGTTGCGGAAGCTCTTGGATATCCAGCTTTTCTGCCCGTGCGTAGTCGGTATCGATGCAGCAGGTACTGCAGCCACTATCGAGCAGTGCCTTGACTCCACGTGTTTTCCCTGAGTCCAGGCCCGTGATCTGGACATATACGTCCATCGAATGCCTCTTTCTTTCGGCTTGGTAACTGCGCAGTTCCTGCGCCAATCTGCTGGGCTGGGGGCCCTTCTGTTTCTCGGCCGCCAATTTCCTCTGGACGGCATCTGGCACCCTGGTGCGTTTGGGTGCTTCTGGAACCTCGATTTTGGCAGATTCCTTGGGCGCTTCCTCCTTTTCCAAGGATCGAGCCTTCGGAGCGATGCTCCCCTTTTCGGTCTTTAGTGATGTGGTTCCTTCTCCACGAGCCATAAATACGTAGGAGTCCAAAAATAATTTATCTGCAGCCACGGTCTTCTGATCCTTTTTATCTTGTAAGTATTTTCTATTTAGAGCTATTTTTTCCTGGCGTTCTTTTTCCATCTCGGCAATAAGAAAATCGTGAATATTTGTACGTAGTGAGTCTGAGATCGTGTATGTAGATGAAATATTGTCCGTATCTTTAATCGAAACAAGTACAGAAAATCGTCCATAGTCCGGACACTCCACCTCCTTGGCTAGAGGAGTGGAGCGTTTCAAAAACCCTTCTCGCGCAGCTTCTCGGCGATCTCCTTGAGGAACTTGTTGTCCTTGTCCCCGTTCTCGATCTCTTCAAGCATTGTGGCCCGATTGAAGAATGTGCGCTTCTTCCTTGGTTCCGGACAGTTCCGCGCAATGTGTCCAGGCTGCTGACAGTTGTAGCAGATGATATTGCGGCCGCGGGCGTGGGTACGATCGATTTCCATCAGAACCGGTTCGTTGGCGGCGGGTCGGGCCGGAGCGGGTGTGGGCGCCACTGGTGCCGCTTGGGGACGGAACTGGGGAGGTGGTCGTTGTGTGGGGTGCCCATACGACGCTTTGCGCAGCTGGTCACGCAGAGCGTTGGCTTCGATGTTGATGCACCAGGCTTTGAACGCTCCATAGGCCTTGGGCAGAGGGACACCGGTGTTGTAGAGACAACTGGCGATCTCGCTGCTGAGTCCGCGCTCCAGGAACTCGATGAGGATATTATCCTGGTCCCCCTTCTTGTATTCGCCTTTGTTGTCGGTGGTGTCGACCACATTGTAGCCTGCATCCGCGGCCAACATCTCAAAGTCGGAGATGTAGTCCGCAAAGGACCGTTTGTTTTGGCGCAGGGCCATAAGCCGAGCAGCGGCGACTTGTTCCGCGTTGGAGTCCCCGAACGCCCTCTGAAGCTCCTCCAGGAAGTTCTTTGATGTGACTCCTGCCTTCAGTCCCTGGAAGCCATCGAAGTTGTGCTGCTTCCAGTTCATCGCCCATCTCGAGGCGGCGCAGCTTGTGCCATTCTCGTTACGGAGGTAGGAGAGGACGAAGAGGATTTTGGTCTCATCCTGCGAGAACTCCGATCGATAGGCACCAATGTAGGTGGTGCACGCGTCCACAAAGCCCAGGTATTTGGACTTGTCGCCATCGAAGTAGGGGGGATTGGCGGCGAGGGTGATGCGGTGATGCCCTGACATGGTAGGAGCAGGCGTGTGAGGTGGGGGCGAGGGTGGTTGTTCGGAGGGCAGTTCGTCGAGGTCGGGGATCTCGTCTTCAGGCGGTGGGAGGGCGAGGTAGGGGTTGGAGGGCCCGGGTTGGTTTTGATGCGCCAGATCGGGCGACGATGGTATGATGGGGGGAGGGGACGGACTCCCAGACGATGATGGGAATCGGTACGAAATGGTGGATTTGCGTGCTGTACAAGCACTCGAGGGAGGGTTCTTTTGCTAGCAAAAAGATCCCGGGCCTAGCTCTTCACGTGCCCAATGATCCCGAGGTGCGTTTTCCCGAAGGTCTCCGCAGCACTCCTTGTAGCTACCGTAAGGCTTGGGTCGGGCTCAACGTTACCCGTGGCCTGGTGCTGTTTGCTTGATATGAACCCTTCACTGCGATAGTGGAGGACGACTAGATGATTCGGTACAAGGGTGAGTGGGGTGATAAGGGTTAAGAGGATATAGCGGGCGTAGCGGTGCAGGATACAGGGTAAGAGGTATGAGGTAGGAGGGTATGAGGGGAGTCTTCGAATTATGTGACAATCAACCCAAAAACAAAGTCGAAAAGAGAAGTGAATTCGAAGACTGGAGAATACAACCAAGTAGCTACAGTATTTATACCCAAATCCAGTCTGAGTCATATCTACAACTAATGAGTCATAGGGCTATGTACCGCATGGAGCACTGGTCATGGGTCGTAGTAGAACCTTCCGGAGCATATGTCGCGCAGCCTCGAATCGATGAAGATAATCCCTGGAACCCCTAGCCCGGACCGTCTGATGCCATGATCTGTGATAAGATAAGTCGTGCCAAGATAAGATAAGATCGTCGATGATAAGATGAAAAAGTGGCCGAACTATGACAAAGCCCGGATCTTTGTTGGTCTTGATTGGCTGATGGAACACAACCCCGAGGTAGATTGGCAGGAGCAGACAATGAGATTCAGCCAATGCCCAAAGCAGTGTCACATGAGGGGTCACAAGGAACACCAAGCAATGATCGACATAGATGCAATTGACCTGGACGTGGGCGCACCGGATCTGGAAGAGGGTAAATTGATCCTGTTGATCAACTTTGGAAAGGAGGTGGATCTACGGCTGAAGGAAACGCCAGCGCAGAAATGTTGAAGTGTGGAAAGGATGTCCTGCTTGGTTCAGACAAAAGAGTGTTACTTAGCTATGTGACCATCAGTACATAGCCCTAGATCAATGTGACAGACTGGGCTTTTGCCTCCCATCTGTGCCCCTAGCCTCCTGCGGCTCCCATCTGTGTTTTCTGTGTTCAACAGGTTATTGGCTCCGCCCTGACCTTTCCATCTACCCTTTTCCTTGCTCCCTCTGCGCATTTTTCGCTCTTTTTTGCTCTTTTTGCTTCTCCTCTCTGTTCCGGTTTTCCCTGATGCTCCTACCGCTTCTTCCTACACCACCATGTTGATAAAATGGCTGAACCAGGAATTGAACCTGGGACCTCTGACTTGGATTGTCCAGTGCTCTAACCACTGAGCTATTCTGCCTTGGTGCTGGGATTCCCAACTCCAACACACCATGGCGCCTACTATCACCTCAGCCCTCACCATTGTTCTCACCACTGTTCCTATGCTGGGGAAGGACAACTGGGCCAAGTTTGGGAAGGGATTCAAGGTGTTTTTGCTGGGAGTGGACGCACTTTGGGTTATGGGGAAAGGGCCAAAAGCAGATGAGTCTGACCAAGTTGCTCTGGACAGAATGCTCCTCCCCTACCTCTACACCAAGATAGAGGAGCAGTACCAGCCCCTCCTGGATGATTTCGAGTCTGCCACTGCTGCCTGGGCAGCCCTCAAGGCCCACTTCGAAAAATCGAGCATGAGCACCAGGATGGCTGCCAGGGCCGAGCTGCACTCTATTTCCCATGACCCCATCAAGGAAATCAACGTCTACATTCGAGCTGTAGGGGATGCAGTGAAGAAACTGGCTGCCATGGGTGTTTCCATCGATTCCACCATCCACAAAGATGTCCTGCTTATGAATCTTCACCCAGCCTTCCACACAGTCCGCACCATTCTCCTTGCACGCTCTCCTGAGCCCAAACTCAAAGACTGCATCACCCAGCTTGCCAGCTCAAGCTCAGACCCTGGAGTGGTTCTCAAAATTGAAGATGGCAATATTTCGAGCCTGGCACTGTGTCATAATTCGACTCTTTTTCATCTTATCATCGACGATCTTATCTTATCTTGGCACGACTTATCTCATCACGGATCACGGCATCAGACGGTCCGGGCTAGGGGTTCCAGGGGCTATCTCTATCGATTCAAGGCTGCGCGACATATGCTCCGGAAGGTTCTACTACAACCCATGACCAGTGCTCCATGCGGTACATAGCCCTATGACTCATTAGTTGTAGATATGACTCAGACTGGATTTGGGTATAAATACTGCAGCTATTTGGTTGTATTCTCCAGTCTTCGAATTCACTTCTCTTTTTGACTATTGTTTTTGGTTGATCGTCACATAATTCGAAGACTCCCCTCATACCCTCGTACCTCTTACCTCCTACCCTGCATCACCGCACCGCTACGCCCGCTATATCCTCTTCACCCTTATCACCCCACTTACCCTTTTACCGAATCATCTAGTCGTCCCCTGCGATCGCAGTGAAGGGTTCATATCGAGCAAACAGCACCAGGCCACGGGTAACGTTGAGCCCGACCCAAGCCTTACGGTAGCTACAAGGAGTGCTGCGGAGACCTTCGGGAAAACGCACCTCGGGATCATCGGGCACGTGAAGAGCTAGGCCCGGGATCTTTTTGCTAGCAAAAGAACCCTCCCTCGAGTGCTTGTACAGCACGCGAATCCACCATTTCGTACCGATTCCCATCATCGTCTGGGAGTCCATCCCCTCCCCCCATCGTACCATCGTTGCCCGATCTGGCGCATCAAAATGAACCTGGGCCCTCCAACCCCTACCTCGCCCTCCCGCCTCCTGAAGACGAGATCCCCAACCTTGGCGAGTTACCCTCCGAACAACCACCCTCGCCCCCACCTACCACACCCGTTCCTACCATGTCAGGACATCACCGCATCACCCTCGCCGCCAATCCCCCCTACTTTGATGGCGACAAGTCCAAGTACTTGGGCTTTGTGGACACGTGCACCACCTACATCGTGTTGATAAAATGGCTGAACCAGGAATTGAACCTGGGACCTCTGACTTGGATCGTCCAGTGCTCTAACCACTGAGCTATTCTGCCTTGGTGCTGGGATTCCCAACTCCAACACATCGGTGCCTATCGGTCGGAGTTCTCGCTAGACGAGACAAAAATCCTCTTTGTTCTGTCCTACCTCCGAAACGAGAGTGGCACAAGTTGCGCCGCCTCAAGATGGGCGATGAACTGGAAGCAGCACAACTTCGAGGGCTTCCAAGGACTGAAGGCGGGAGTCACCGCGACAAGCTTCTTGGAGGAGCTCCAGAGGGCCTTTGGGGATTCTAACGCAGAGCAAGTCGCTGCCGCCCGACTCATGGCCCTTCGTCAGGGCAGACGGTCCTTTGCGGACTACATCTCCGACTTCAAAATGCTAGCTGCAGACGCGGGGTACAACATGGTCACCTCCACCGACAGCAAGGGCGAGTACAAGAAGGGGGAACAGGACAATATCCTCATCAAGTTCCTGGAGCGCGGACTCAGCAGCAAAATTGCAAGCCGCCTCTACAACACCGGCGTTCCCCTGCCCAAGGCATATGGTGCCTTCAAGAACTGGTGTGTCAACATTGAGGCCAATGCCTTGCGTGACCAACTGCGTAAGGCCTCCTATGCGCACTCGACTCCACGGCCTCCCTCCCAATTCCGCCCTCAGGCAGCACCAGCTGCGCCCACGCCTGCTCCGACCCGGCCGGCTGCCAACGAACCGGTCCCAATGGAAATCGATCGCACCCATGCCCGCGGCCGCAATATCATCTGCTACAACTGTCAGCAGCCTGGACACATCGCGCGGAATTGTCCGGAGCCCAAGAAGAAGCGCACGTTCTTCAATCAGGCCACAATGCTTGAAGAGATCGAGAACGGGGATAAGGACAACGAGTTCCTCAAGGAGATTGCCAAGAAGCTGCATGAGAAGGGTTTTTGAAGCGCTCCACTCCTCTAGCCAAGGAGGTGGAGCGTCCGGACTATGGATGATTTTCTGTACTTGTTTCAATTAAAGACATGAACGATTCTGCACATACATATACAATCTCGGACTCATTACGTACCAATATTCACAATTTTCTCATTGCTGATATGGAAAAAGAACGCCAAAGAAAAATAGCTTTAAATAGAGAGTATTTACAAAGTAAAAAGGATCAGAAAGCTGCAGATAAATTAATTTTGGATTCCTACGTATTTATGGCTCGTGGAGAAGGAACCACGTCAACAAAGACCGAAAAGGGGAGCATCGCTCCGAAGGCTCAATCCTTGGAAAAGGAGGAAGCGCCTAAGGAATCTGTCAAAATCAAGGTTCCAGAAGCACCCAAACGCACCAGGGTGCCAGATGCCATCCAGAGGAAATTGGCGGCCGAGAAACAGAAGGGCCCCCAGCCCAGCAGATTGGCGCAGGAATTGCTCAGTTACCAGGCCGAAAGGAAGAGGCATTCAATGGACGTATATGTCCAGATCACGGGTCTGGACTCAGGGAAAATGCGCGGAGTCAAGGCGCTACTCAATAGCGGCTGCAGTACCTGCTGTATCGATACTGACTACGCACGGGCAGAGAAGTTGGATATCCAGGAGCTCCCACAACCCATTGTGGCTCGTAATGCCGACAACACCGAGAACATCAATGGGCGGATCACGCACTATGTCGACCTAAGGATGAGAATTGGTCCTCATGTGGAGACACGCACGTTCCTTCTGACGTGTTTGGGAAAAGCTCGGATCTTCATCGGCCTGGATTGGCTGACGGAACACAACCCCGAGGTGGATTGGCAGGAGCAGACAATGAGATTCAGCCGATGCCCAGAGCAATGTCAAATGAGGGGTCACGAGGAGCACCAAGCAATGATTGACATGGATGCAATCGACCTGGACATGGACACACCAGATCTGGAAGAGGGAGAATCGATCCTGTTGGTCAATTTTGGGAAGGAAGTGGACCTGCGGCTGAAGGAGACGCCGGCGCAGAAATTTGCAGAGGAAGCAGAAAAGGAGAAAGAGAGAATGACCGAGGGAAGGATTCCGGATCAATATCGGGAATTTGTCAAGGTATTCGCCAAAGAATTGTTCGACATGGGATCATGCGATTGAGCTCAAACCTGGTTCCAAAGCAGTGGACTGCAAGGTGTACCCGTTATCACGCAATGAACAAGTCAAACTCGATGAATTCTTACAAGAGAACCTGGCCAGTGGACGGATCAGGCCATCAAAATCACCCATGGCATCAGCATTCTTCTTTGTCAAGAAGAAGGATGGCTCTCTACGCCCCGTCCAAGATTATCGGAAGCTGAATGAGATGACAATCCGGAATCGATACCCGCTGCCGCTGATCTCCGAACTGGTCCATAATCTATGTGGCGCAAAGTTCTTCACCAAGCTCGACATCCAGTGGGGATATAACAATGTACGAATCAAAGAGGGCGACGAGTGGAAGGCTGCATTCCACACGAACTGAGGGCTGTACGAGCCCTTGGTTATGTTCTTCGGTCTCACAAATTCCCCGGCAACGTTCCAAAACATGATGAATGACATACTCCAAGAGTTGATCAACGAGGGTCATGTGGTAGTCTATCTGGACGATATACTGATCTTCACAGAAAATTTGGACGAACATCGGCGGATCACAAAACGAGTGCTCGAATTGCTCCAGAAACACAAGCTATACCTGAAACCCGAAAAATGCGAGTTCGAATGCACTGAAATTGAATATTTGGGTGTAATCATTGAACATAACTCGATGCAGATGGACCCTGTCAAGATCAAGGGCGTGATGGAATGGCCAGAACCAAAGAGCGTCAAACAGGTCCAAGCTTTCCTCGGATTCACAAACTTCTATTGGCGCTTTGTCCGGGGATACGCGGAGGTTGCCAAGCCATTGACACGGCTGACAGGGAAGGCAGGATGGTCATGGGGTGCAGATGAGCATGCGGCATTTGATGGATTGAAGAAGAGAATCGCGGAGGATGCGGTCCTAGCACTGCCAAATGACACTGGCCAATATTGTCTGGAAGCCGATGCTTCGGAAGGGGCAACAGGATCAGTTTTGAGCCAAAACCAAGACGGCATTTGGCGCCCAATCGCATTTATTTTGCACGCACTGACCGAAACCGAGCAAAATTACGAGATCTACGACAAGGAAATGCTTGCAATCATGCTATCATTGGACGAATGGAGACAGCTACTACTGGGAGCCACGGAGACGTTCAAGATCTTCACTGATCATCAGAATCTTGAGTACTTCCGGAAGCCGCAGAAGCTCAATCGACGGCAAGCACAATGGATCACGGAGTTGGCGGAGTTTGATTTCACCTTACGACACCGACCCAGCGCACTCAACCGCAAGGCGGATCTCCTGTCTCGACGAGCAGATCACAACCAGGGCAAGAACGACAACAAGGACGTCACGCTATTGAAGCCCGAGTTCTTTTGATCACAAGAAGTCACATTCGAGGGACAGGATCAGCAGCTAATTGATGAAATCAAGGCCATTCGATCGATTGATGGAAGCGTCAAGGCGGCCTTGGAGAAGTCACTCGTCGGATGGAAGAAGGAAGAGGGGCTTATCACGTATCATGGGAAGCTCTATGTACCAAGGGACGAGAAGCTGCGGGACAAGATCATCGGACTACACCACAACATCCCTTTGGTAGGACACGCTGGGATCAACCGAACGCAGGAAATGGTGGAAAGGAACTACTGGTGGCCAAGGATGGGAAACCAAATTCGGAAATACATCCAGACGTGCAAAGCGTGCCAGCGGACCAAGACCAGAAGAGCCAGGACAGGGAGTTTGCACCCGCATGCAGTTCCAAATGCGCCGTGGGAAATCATCTCCATGGATCAGATCGGACCTTTGCCGGTCAGTAACGGGTATGACGCAATTCATGTGTGGTGTGACACCTTCACCAAAATGATCCATGTCGAACCAATTAGTACTGACATCAGCAGTGAAGGAGTTGCACAATTAACCAGGGACCGAGTCTTCCGCTACCACGGGATTCCCCGCAAGATCATCACCGACAGGGATTCGCATTACATCAAGGGCTTCATGAGGGAGACGAATCGGATGTTGGGCGTGGAAATGAATCCGGGGACCGCATATCACCCGATCACGGATGGGCAGACAGAACGCATGAATCAGGAGATCGAGCATTATCTCCGCATCTACGTTAACTACCATCAGACGGACTGGTCGGAGTGGCTAGGGATGGCAGAATTTGCATATAACGATAAAATGAACACATCTACCAAAATATCGCCATTCTATGCGAATCACGGATATCACCCATGGAAGGGAGTGGAGCAACGGATGGAGTCAAGGAACGAGTCGGCGGAGGAATTTGTAAAAAGAATGAAAGAAATACAAGACGAAGCAAAAGCAGCACTAGAAAAAGCAAAAGAAAAAATGAAAAAATACTACAATAAACAAAGAAAAGAAGTTCCGGAGTTGAAGGTTGGGATGAAGGTGTACATAGAAGGGGAAAATATCGAGACGGATCGACCATCAAAGAAGATGAGCGACAAGAGACTAGGGCCATACGAGATACTGGAGAAGGTTGGAGCGGCTGCATGGAAGCTGGATTTACCGGACACGGACCGAAGACATCCGGTGTTCAACAAGTCACTGTTGACACCCTATCACGAACCACCCCCCCATTGCCGAGAGAAGAGGCCTGTAGCCAAGATGATCGGAGGAGCAGAAGAGTGGGAAGTCGAAGAAATCGTGAAAGAGCGAAACGTCGGCCGAGGAAAACAGTACTTGGTCAAATGGAAGGGATGGCCACATAGCGAGAACACCTGGGAACCATCACGTCACCTTACCCACGCAAAGAAGGTCCTGAGAGATTGGCAGAGGAAACAATCCAACCCAGACACACGCATTCGCCTCCTGCCAACTCTCAAAGCCGGACATTGGGATTATCTCATTCATCGCTACAAACCCAAAGACAAGCGCCTTCCATATCCCCAGCGACAACTCTTCGATCCGTACGAAAACGTCTTCACGCCCATTGGCCTAGTCGATGAGGACATCGACCCTAGAGAGGGGGTAATGTCATAATTCGACTCTTTTTCATCTTATCATCGACGATCTTATCATATCTTGGCACGACTTATCTCATCACGGATCATGGCATCAGACTGTCCGGGCTAGGGGTTCCAGGGGTTATCTCTATTGATTCGAGGCTGTGCGACATATGCTCCGGAAGGTTCTACTACAACCCATGACCAGTGCTCCATGCGGTACATAGCCCTATGACTCATTAGTTGTAGATATGACTCAGACTGGATTTGGGTATAAATACTGTAGCTATTTGGTTGTATTCTCCAGTCTTCGAATTCACTTCTCTTTTCGACTATTGTTTTTGGTTGATTGTCACACACTGGCTGCATTGGCGCCACGTCGAGGCACAGCATCTGCCACGTCATCATACACCTCCCCCATCACTGGCAGCATTGCCCGGGACGGATTTCCGCTGGATTCCCAAGGTTTTCGTTGGTGTGACCCTACCACCAGGGGCTGCCATCGCTGTGGACGCACTGGCCACATCGCTCACAAGTGCATGCACACCATGCCCACCTTTGTGAAGGACTGGATCCTGGCTAATGGCAAGAGCAGCTCTGCTTCTGCTGCTTTCTCTGCTGCACTGGAGGCAGGTCTGACTAGGGAGAGCTTCTTTGAGATGTGGGATGAGTTCCAGATGTCCAATGAAGCGGAGATTGGTGGTGGGCCTAGTGGACCATTCCTGTCTCCAAGACGGACTTAGATTGGGTGGGAGTGGCCTTGGATTTGGTGGGAGTGTTCTGTTTGATTGCTTTTGTCTTCCCAAGGGTGGGAGTGTTGAAGTGTGGAAAGGATGTCCTGCTTGGTTCAGACAAAAGAGTGTTACTTAGCTATGTGACCATCAGTACATAGCCCTAGATTAATGTGACAGACTGGGCTTTTTGCCTCCCATCTGTGCCCCTAGCCTCCTGCGGCTCCCATCTGTGTTTTCTGTGTTCAACAAGAAATTCGCAGAAAAAGCAGAAAAAGAGAAGGAGAGGATGACTGAGGAGAAGATTCCGGATCAATACTGGGAATTCATAAAAGTATTTGCCAAGGAATCATTCAACTCACTACCGGACCGATAAATATGGGACCATGCAATCGAACTTAAACCAGGCTCCAAAGCAGTAGACTGCAAGGTTTACCCGCTATCACAAAATGAGCAGGTCAAACTGGACAAGTTCTTACAAGAGAACCTGGCCAGCAGACGGGTCAGGCCATCAAAATCACCCATGGCATCAGCATTCTTCTTTGTCAAGAAAAAGAATGGCTCCTTATGCCCCGTTCAAGATTATTGGAAGCTGAATGAGATGACGATCCGAAATCGATACCCGCTGCCACTGATCTCTGAACTGGTCCATAATCTATGCGGCGCCAAGTTCTTCACGAAGCTTGACATCCAGTGGGGATACAACAACATACGAATCAAAGAGGGCGATGAGTGGAAGGCTGCGTTCTGCACGAACCGCGGACTGTACAAGCCCTTGGTCATGTTCTTTGGCCTCACAAATTCCCCATCAACCTTTCAAAATATGATGAACAGCATACTCTGAGAACTGATCAACGAGGGTCATGTGGTAGTTTATCTTGATGATATACTAATTTTCACAGAAACCTTGGACGAACATCGGCAGATCACGAAACGAGTACTCGAACTGCTCCAAAAACACAAGTTATACCTGAAACCCGAAAAATGCAAGTTCGAATGCACTGAAATTGAATATTTGGGTGTAATCATTGAACATAACTCGATGCAGATGGACCCTGTCAAGATCAAGGGCGTGATGGAATGGCCAGAACCAAAGAGCGTCAAACAAGTCCAAGCTTTCCTCAGATTAACAAACTTCTATCGGCACTTTGTCCAGGGATACGTGGAGGTCGCCAAACCGTTGACACAGCTGACAGGGAAGGCGGGATGGTCATGGGGTATGGGTGAGCATGCAGCATTTGATGGGTTGAAGAAGAGAATCGCGGAGGATGCGGTCTTAGCACTGCTAAATGACACTGGCCAATATCATCTGGAAGCCGATGCTTTGGAAGGGGCAACAGGCTCCGTTCTGAGCCAAAACCAAGACAGCATTTGGTGCCCAATCACATTTATTTTGCATGCATTGACCAAAACCAAGCAAAATTACGAGATCTATGACAAGGAAATGCTCGCGATCATGCTATCATTGGATGAATGGAGGCAGTTACTACTAGGAGCCACAGAAACGTTCGAGGTCTTCACTGATCATCAAAATCTTGAGTACTTCCAAAAACTGCAGAAGCTCAATCGACGGCAAGCACAATGGATCACGGAGTTGGCGGAGTTTGATTTCACCTTACGACACTGGCCCGGCGCACTCAACTGCAAGGCAGACCTCTTGTCTTGATGAGCGGATCACGATCAGGGCAAGAACAACAACAAGGACGTTACACTACTAAAGCCCGAGTTCTTCCAATCACAAGAAGTCACATTTGAGGGGCAGGATCAGCAGCTAATTGATGAGATTAAGGCCACTCGATCAATTGATGGAAGCGTCAAGGCGGCCTTGGAGAAGTCACTCACTGGATGGAAAAAGGAAGATGGGCTTATCACGTACCATGGGAAGCTCTACGTAGAGAGGGACGAGGAACTGCAAGACAAGATCATCGGGCTACACCATGACACACCTTTGGTTGGACACGCTGGGATCAACTGAACGCAGGAGATGGTGGAAAGGAACTACTGGTGGCCAAGGATGGGAAATCAAATTTGGAAATACATCCAAACGTGTGAGGCATGCCAACAGACCAAGCTTGACCAGGAGAGCAAGGACAGGGACTCTGCACCCGCATGCAGTCCCAAATGCGCTGTGGGAAATCATCTCAATGGATCAAATCGGACCCTTACTGGTCAGTAATGGGTATGACACAATTCATGTGTAGTGTGATACCTTCATCAAAATGATCCATGTCGAACCAATTAGTACTGATATCAGCAGTGAAGGAGTCGCACGATTAACCAGGGACCGAGTCTTCCGCTACCACGGGATCCCTTGCAAGATCATCACTGACAGGGATTCGCGTTACATCAAGGGCTTCATGAAGGAGACAAATCGGATGTTGGGTGTGGAAATGAATCCGGGGACCGCATATCACCCGATCACTGTTGAGGATGGGTTTTGGACTTGATCACTCTCTGGTGATTGGGTCACATGATCACCTGATTCCATCTGATCTTATCACTAATCACATCACTGATGATATCCAATTCCATCACTGTTCCCATCATTCCATCATTCTGATCACATGACTTCTGATCACATGATTCCTACATAGTCACATGCTCCATCTACATAGATAGTTCTTGCCTCCCTGGAGTTCTTCAGCTTCTTACTGTTGACTCCAGGTCTGTAGATTCTTTTCTTGTCTTGTCTTGCAATGCAGAGCTTCTTACTGTTGACTCCAGTCCTCTCTGCATTTCCTGCTTCAACAATCACAGATGGACAAATGGAACGCATGAATCAAGAGATCGAGCACTATCTCTGCATATACGTCAATTACCATCAGACAGACTGGTCAGAGTGGCTGGGAATAGCGGAGTTTGCATATAACAACAAGATGAACACGTCTACTAAAATATCACCGTTCTATGCCAATCATGGATATCACCCATGGAAGGGAGTGGAGCAACGGATGAAATCAAGGAACGAGTCGGCGGAGGAGTTTGTAAAAAGAATCAAAGAAGTACAAGACAAAGCAAAAGCAGCATTGGAAAAAGCAAAAGAAAAAATGAAAAAATACTACGATAAACAAAGAAAAGAAGTTCCGGAGTTGAAGGTTGGGATGAAGGTGTACATAGAAGGGGAAAATATCGAGACGGATAGACCATCAAAGAAGATGAGCAACAAGAGATTAGGACCATACGAGATACTGGAGAAGGTTGGAGCGGCTGCATGGAAGCTGGATTTGCCGGACACGGACCGAAGACATCCGGTGTTCAACAAGTCACTGTTGACACCCTATCACGAACCACCCCCCCATTGCCGAGAGAAGAGGCCTGTAGCCAAGATGATCGGAGGAGCAGAAGAGTGGGAAGTCGAAGAAATCGTGAAAGAGCGAAACGTCGGCCGAGGAAAACAGTACTTGGTCAAATGGAAGGGATGGCCACATAGCGAGAACACCTGGGAACCATCACGTCACCTTACCCACGCAAAGAAGGTCCTGAGAGATTGGCAGAGGAAACAATCCAACCCAGACACACGCATTCGCCTCCTGCCAACTCTCAAAGCCGGACATTGGGATTATCTCATTCATCGCTACAAACCCAAAGACAAGCGCCTTCCATATCCCCAGCGACAACTCTTCGATCCGTACGAAAACGTCTTCACGCCCATTGGCCTAGTCGATGAGGACATCGACCCTAGAGAGGGGGTAATGTCATAGTTCGACCACTTTTTCATCTTATCATCAACGATCTCATCTTATCTTGGCACGACTTATCTTATCACGGATCATGGCATCAGACGGTCCAGGCTAGGGGTTCCAGGGATTATCTTTATTGATTCAAGGCTGTGCAACATATGCTCTGGAAGTTTCTACTACAACCGATGACCAGTGCTCCATGCGGTACATAGCCTTATGACTCATTAGTTGTAGATATGACTCAGACTGGATTTGGGTATAAATACTGCAGCTACTTGGTTGTATTCTCCAGTCTTTGAATTTACTACTCTTTTCAACTTTGTTTTTGGGTTGATTGTCACATTGTCACAGGTCCAAGAAAAACAAGTGAACACACAATGGGATGTGTCTCTGCTCCATACTGGAGGCATGTCCTTCCTGTGGACATGGTTGTTCCTTGTCTTGTTCTCCAGCACCACACTGTCTGTAGCCACCAGCATCACTTACAGGTTTGTCTTTGTCCTTGTTGAAGATGGAATTATTATTGTTACCAGGCTTGTAAGGTTTGAAAATGCCAGTGTAGCTAGCCATGGTGGAGAAGATTGTGAGGAGTGTTTGTGCGGCTGTGCAGTAACACTAAACCTATAAACGGTGCTTGCACTAAAAAACTTTATTTTTATTTTTAGAAGAGATATATTTTCAAATTGCAATAATATTTTGATTACATAATAACAAAACACAGTGTTAATTTTGGCTTTAGTGTGATAACACAACAAAAATGTTAAATTACAGTTCTGTACAATGTTTTGTAGAAAAGTAGTTGCCTATAGTGATCAGAAATCGCTCAATAACTGATTTTCCTCTTGTCAAATTATCCAGTAATATCCGTTCATTAGGCAAATGAGCTTGATCTGAACTTTGTCCCATTGGAAGATGCAATGCATGACAGTTGAATTCCTTTTCAAGATAGGGAACAGAGGGAATAGACTGGATTTCAATTGAGTTTGATCCAAAGGATTTCCTAGAGAGAAACATACCCCTCCTTCTCTGATCCGCAATGGCTTTACTCCCCATTCTTCTTGAACAGCCTCTTCTAGAGCTTGGAACCAGAATCCATCAAGCTGACCAAGCCACCAATCAGCAGTGTGTTCAATTGAAACTTTGAACCGATTAGGCGAGTTTAATTGCTCAAATGATTTGTGTAGATACTGGGCAAGAGATGTAGCCACAGTATCCAGATCTTGGTCTGGCACAATTCTGATTGACACCTGAGATTTAACTGTTCCAGGGATCACAGTAGAATCTAATCAAGAATAAGTAATGCTGGTAGTAGAAAACTGGTGCTTACTTTTAGGCCCAGATATCTCTACTGTATGTATAGTCATTGAGGGTTCTCTCCAGCGAGAGGACCAGGATGTGGCTGTGCGACCAATCATACTCTCTAACTGCTGGTAGAGCAGATTCTCCTCAGCAGTTAATTCTCTGACATGTTCATCTGTAGACGTAAGCTAAAATGCAGATACAAGGATTTTTTCTCCTACAAAAGCCTGGAATAAGCACTTGATGATGCGAATCAGTCAGGGATGCCAATAAATGGACCCTAAGATGTCTAATCAGAAGAGTAAAATAGCAGAGCCATAACTCTTACATGTCAAGTAAGGGTTCCACTACAGCACCACCTTCAATGCCTGAGTGAAGATCAGGAGAATCACTAGTGATCTTCAACAGTTTTAGTACAGTATAGATAAACCTTGAATGTAGGTCAAACTTACTTCAATTGCACAATGTATTACACCACGTAGTCCATAGGTGATACAGGGTGTGTCTTCAGCAATCCAGGTTGAGTTGCTAAATAAAATAGAGAACATTCAGAGAGCAGAAGCATAAGAAGCAATATTGCTACCTGACTAGAATTGCATCAATGTGGCCAATAGATTTCTGCAAAAAAAATTAGAGTTCATATTGGCAGCAGTAAAGTAAGACTTTCCTTATGTTTTTGAACTGTATCTCGGAAACCTGTACTTCCACATTCTTCTTCACCTTCAATGAGAAAGACAACATCAACCTCAAGAGCTCGGTCTGCTAGTAGTTGGGCAACAGCACACAGAATTGCAAGGATAGGCCCTTTGTTGTCTGTTACACCTCGCCCATACAAGTGTCCATTTTTTCCTATCATATGGAAGGGATCTGAGTCCCAACCTTCTGATGGAGCTGGAATAACATCATAGTGCCTATTATTTGCTCAGTTTGTTCAGACCACTCAGTAGGATTGATAGACAAACCCATATATCAAGAGTCGAGGTTTCAATGCTGTTTTTGTGCATAATCCACTGAAGGTTGCAAGAACCAAAGGATTGATGTCTTTGCCAGCTGCAAGCTGCATTCAGTCAGTAACATCTTCTCAGTAAGCACAGAAATACTTGCAAGAGCTGAGGTACCACCCATCTGTGTAAAACACTTTTTGAGCCAGATAGCAGCCTGCCGACAATCTTCCCGATTTGATGAATTGGAGCTAACACTGGGTATAGAAACAAATTTTGACAGTGCAAAGGTTAATGTATCTGGAAATCCATCAGTTTACAGCTGTACCAAGTTCTAAACTGACCTGTTGTGTGCCCATGAGTCAAATGCTTCACAGGCTCTAGAGGTCTTGAATTGTCTAAACCCCATACTTTGATGTAATCATCATTTCCGCCCGTGATCAGATATAACTGCTCGTTGGAAAACCCTTTCGTAACAATTGAAGAAAGAACAATGCCTTCGTGAGCTTTCCAGGAGGCTGTACAATCGAATGACGGGGAGAATCTCTGCACCGAACCGTTCGCAGAACAGGCATAGAGATCAGATTTGACAATAGACAGCGAAAGAATATCAATGGACTGCTCCATTATTAGCATAGTCTAAAATATTGAGGCGGCAAACGAACTGACTTCTTGGCCAATGATACTCCGAACGATGGTCTTTGTTTCCAGGTCAAGCACCTTGATGGACCCATCCTGACATCCGGCGTATACAGTCTCGTCTTTAGCAACCAGCGAAAATACAGCTCCGCTATTGCATTCGAAGGCACATATTTCCGATATCCCATCTGGGACGGAACAGTTCCAGAGCTGGGGGTGCACTTGGTCAGTCTCGGGCAAATATGTTTGAAGGAATGCACACCTTCACTGATTCATCACCACCACCGGTAACCAACTTCGTTTTGCCATCTTCATCTTCGACAAGAGCCATGCAATAAACATACCCGTAGTGCGCGGACTCGATAACACTGTCTTCGGGGATGTCGATGTATGCGTGGGGAGGTAATGTTGGGTCGGGATGGGGTGAATTATCCCTACTTGGTCTTCCGTTGTTTGCGAAGATGTCGACAGGCTTTCGCTCATATTGTGGATAACTATCGAAAAACCGATGAGCTTTTCGTGAAGGCGTCGACGTTCCAGAGGAAGGATCTCTCCGGGCTGATGGTGTCGTAGACGCATTGATGACATGATCATCTGAGTTGAAGGAGTGCCACTGGATAGATGTATTCTGGCAGCCAATGTAAACGGTTTGCAGAGTGTGGCACCTGGAAAAGTCAGTACTAAGCATGTCTCCAGACGAGCGAAAGGCGTCACCAGGCGAGAGAGAAGAGGTCCCCCGTCCCGGTGTGAAGTTGAGGGGACAGTATGTACAAAGGAGACAGGTTCTCCGTGGACCAGACCTGGAATCATCAGGTTCCAATGCAGTCCAAAAATCGAGCGACTGACCCTGACAGTACTGTCTCCCGAAGAACTGAGTAGCCAGCGCCGGTCCTCCGCATAAGCGAGTGCCAACACCGCTCCCGTGTGGCCGCAAAGTCGATCTTTCAGTCGGAAAGTTTGCTTATCCCAGACAGGAATCTCCTGACTCTGGCTCCCACAGAAGATGTACTTGTCGGTCGTCGCAAGGCTGAGAACAGAGCGCGCCTCTTGCAGCGAATGAAGCAGTGTCGGTGTTTCCGATGATGCATCCCACAGGTCGCGGCTCAAAGAGGCTGATGCGATGAGCAAGATGACTTGTGCTCAAGAGGTCACATACGATGTTGTGCCAACGGTGGATGGCTTTGAGGGGGCAATTCCGGCGCTGCAGGCGACATGATGGTCGAAATAGATTCTGAGCTGATACAGGCCAATAAAAGAGTAGGAAGATTATGTCCAGTAGACGAGATTGCGTGAGAATCGCGTAGTGTTCGCAAGGTTCTGGCAGTGTTCTCGGTCACTGCTGTCACAAGTGACACATTTTCCTCTGCCTGCCAGTGCGCTTTCACTTCGCTCCATGACCATCGGCCCCATACCCATTCCTGCTCGTCGCCGCCGCCGCTCACTATCATCGTCTCCAAAGGACTCTGATCTTCGTCTTGATCCACCTCCGCGTCCCAAAAGTACCCCAGGTGAACGTCCCGCTCAGCGCCGCCGTCAGCAAAGCCCTCCTCACGGAGACGATGACGCGAGCGATCTGGATCTCAGCCTCAACGCCGAACCTGCTGTCTTAGAAGAAGACGAAGCCGAAGCTGAAGACGGCTCTTCTCTCCCAGTCGTTTCCACCACGACGAAAAAAGTTCTCGACAGAGGCATCACGATCATCCAAAAGGATCTGCCGCTCATTGACTCTGACCGCCCTACCCGCAAACTCCCAGAACGTGCCATGGACTCTGCTCAAAATAATAATCGCCTTCCTCCTGCCAATCCCACAATGCTCCCAGTTCAGGCGCATGTTCCTCGTGCCAGCATCACCTCTTCTCATCGGCGACTCTATGTGATTCTCGAGCAGGCATGTCTTGAAGCATATCGCCTGCCAGGTGGCGCTGGTAAGAGCAAGCGCGGCGGACAGGAGGGTGAAGTCAAATACACGCTGCTCAATTGCGACGATCATCAAGGCATCCTTGCCAAGACCGGTCGAGACATCGCTGACGCTCGTCCAGACATCACACATCAGGTGAGCCGCTGTAAATGTGCTTCTTTTTCTTGCTAACAATGCCCTCCAGTGTCTGCTCACTCTACTTGACTCGCCGCTGAACAAAGCTGGGTTGCTCCAGGTCTACATTCACACTGCGAAAGGCGTCCTGATCGAAGTGAACCCCCACGTTCGGATTCCCCGAACTTTCAAGCGTTTTAGCGGTCTGATGGTGCAGCTTCTGCACAAACTGTCCATCCGAGGGGTCAACGGTCCGGAAAAGCTGCTCAAGGTCGTCAAAAACCCGATCATCGATCATCTTCCTCCGAACACCATCAAATTGAGTGCGTTCAATATCTTATTCCCCCTTTCGTACATCTGACACGTCAATAGCGCTCTCAGGAGATGCCAAGACGCAGCGACTATCTTCCTATCTGAAGACGTTACCCCCCGCACACAACATCGCTGTGTTTGTCGGCGCTATGGCCCGTGGGCGGGATGATTTCGCAGACGCTTACGTGGATGAGAAGATTAGCATCAGCGAGTACGCACTGAGTGCCAGTGTTGCGTGTGGCAAGGTGTGTAGCGTCATATATCGTTTGCCCTTGCTCTGAGCATCGTCTAGTTTTGCTGTGCCCTCGAGGATCTCTGGGACATCATATAAATACGTTTTCACGACATTCGATTTCTGGTTGTGCTCCATTTCGCCCCTACTTTTTGCATTGTATCTTATCTCTGCATCGCGTCAACCGCGCATTTGTTGTACACTAGCCAAATCTACATTCCTCGCCACACATACTCACCTATACGACACCTCATGAGGCGACTCAACTCGCATTTTGACTGCTACACACATTCCTTATCTACTACGTGCTAGGATGTCACTACTAGGTCCTGAATATTAACAGATAATTACCATACGCACTGCAGTGCGTGTGGTCTGAATGAGTGCGACAATGCCTCCCACGCCGCTAGGATGACGATGATATTTTCAAACAATTGTGACCCAGTGCAGGAGCGACTGCTTGGATTTTTGGTCCGATCTATATGTATGATTTCTACAGGGTCATGCGAGACATATCGGTGCGGAGACGATTGTAGTCCAACAGACCCTCAATGTTGCCAACGGCAGCAAGAGCGAACTGGATTTGATGAGAAACGCACTGCAGTGAGGAGATGAAAGGCGACGCACATCCTTGTCCCAGAGATATTTCTTAGCAACACGCATGACGTCGTCCACGGAGACAGCGTCAACAGCCTGCTCAGTCTGTTGAGGTGACATACGACGACCGCTGGTGACGAGCTGTCGTCCTATGTCCTCCGCAATAGCAGTCGATCCATCTAGCCCAAGTAGTAGACCAGCTTTGAGCTGGCTCTTGGCACGCTCGACCTCAACAGAAGTTGGCGAGATACTCATACGGGCCCATTCGCGCAGCGTCACATGCGTGAGATCGTCCAAGTTCATGAAGTTCTCGCTCACGAGGTAGATGCCCCACAAGCCGGTGTCAGCATAGCTCGTGCTAAAGCTCATGAAGGAGTTGGCGAGATTGTTTGAGGAGATGGCATGAGAAAGGCGAGAGGAAAGGTGCGAGGCAGAGCCAAGAGAGCGATCCCAATTACCAAAGATGCTCTGTAGAACCATCATCGGAAAGTAGTCGGGTGATGACCAGCCGACACCCTCGACAGCGATGGCGATGTGAGCAGCTCCCAGCTCGTCGTCGCGCAAGCGAACCTCGGATCCAACGAAGTTATTCTTGGCATGGGCGGATCCACCGAGGCGGATGGGATTAGGGGAGACGGGGAGGGAAGAAAAGTGCTGCTCGGCCAATTTGACGAGCTCAGCATGGTCGACGCCACCTGCACCAACGAGAACCATGCGATCAGCAGTGTAGTTCGTCTTGATGTATGAACTCAAGTCGTCTTGTTTGAGCGAAAGGATGTTTGCTGGACATGGGTGAGACAGTGAGCCAGTGGCTTTTGATCGAGAAAGCACCTTTCGGTCCCAGTATGGTACGCCCCAGGGGTTGGTCTATGCAGCGTGAGCCGCCGAAAAGAATGTGGGACGAGATGGCCACGTACGTTGGAAAGCGACAGAGTGAAGATGGTCGAAGACGACCTCTTCCAGCTGCTTGTCTACCTCCTGCTGCTCCCTTAAAATGACGTCTCGTTCACGCTCGATAGCAGAGGCCTCCAATTTCGAGTTCTGGAGAATGTCGCTGATGATGTCGACAGCAGCAGGAACGTCCTTGCGGAAGCTTTTGGCGTAGTAGACAGTTTGCTCTCGCGACGTGTAAGCATTCAAGTGGGCTCCGATGTTCTCGACCTCGAGCTCAAGCGCATGCTGTGTCCGCTTCCCAGTACCCTTGAAGGCCATGTGCTCCAAAAAGTGTGCAGCGCCGTTATTTGCGTCCGTCTCAGCCCGAGAGCCTGCATCAATCCAGACACCAACGGTGGCAGTCTGAGAATGAGGGTGTGACTCGGTGGCGACGGTGAGTCCGTTAGAGAGACGGGAAATCTCCGTGAACGGACCAGCGTTATGCACGGTGGCGAAATTCCTCAGAGACCGCTGGTGACCGAAAAAAGTGGTGAGGGTTAACGAAGAGCTGGAAGCGGAGTATTATATGGACGTACGTGTGGACGAGCATTCCGGAGGACACGGTGAAAGACGGTTCGCGAGACCATCGCGAGGAGCGGGCAAGGAAAGAGTTTCGGGGGAAGGCGGAAACGGCCGGGAATAAGTTGGGATGATTGGTCAGCATCTCATGATGTGAGTTTACATCACGTGATTGTCACAAGCGTACCGTAATAAGTATCTCTTTCTCGTTCAACAATTTGTGTGGTCTGTCCTTACGGATCAGTCTCTTTCGTTCTTATAGCGCACTCGATCGAAATAGTTCACGTTACTGTCGAGTTTGGGGAACTCAACACGATCTTGCATTACTCACGACGCGCCGTGCCATGTCGTCCGTTGACGCCGTTCCTACTGCTCTTTGAAATACTCAAGAATTCTGCCAGTGGACGTGCTCCTTTTACAGAGAAAGAAGACTCCCTGCTTATGAAATACATTGCGACCTACAGCCCAAGTCTCGCTGGGCGCTGTGGAAACAAACTGTTCCAAACGCTGGTAGAAAACGTACGAATGCAATATCAAGCACTGTTCAGCCCGCAACTCATCATCGACCTCGGTAGAAAGACCATAAATGGGGATGGAGCAAGTGTCATCCTTGGCAAGGATGGCGACACCGCTACATTAGCAAACAGAAATCATTCGACACGCGAATCCGAAAGTACCAGGACAAGAAAGGACTACCAACCGAGAGCCCAACGTACGGAGCGACCCGATTGAGTTATTTGAAGATGCCCTCTGCTAAAGGGAGTCCCTCCCGCAAGAAGAGGAGACATTCCGATGAAGAGACGGACAATAACGAAATCGATAATGGACAAAGGCCATCCTCTTCGGTGTGAGCTGATTTCGAACACATTTCAAAAAATTTGGCTCAGTTACCGATGTGCAGGGCGCCTGCTCGTAAGCGAACGCGCATTGTTCCCGACATTAGCACCTTAGAGGAGCCTGTTGACTCTCTGGACGATTCTCAAGAAGATGCTCTAGCTACAATCAGACAACCAGGGAAGCAAGCCAAGGATGCATGTAACAACGATGATTCCCTTGACGGAGAAGATCCTTTCAGGTCTCTCCCACCGCGAACAGAACACCAGGGCTCATCTCTGCCGCCTCCAGCACGAACAATACCTAAACCTCGTCCGCCACCGAAAGTGATGAGCAACGGTTTCAGCGCGACGTTTGAGGGCGTTGAGAGGTTCATTGCTGACGGATCCAGAAACCAACTTGCAGAGATATCATGGCCACCAATCCGGCATCGAACCAAAACTTTTAGCGCAGTGGACCAGACTACAAAGTTTGACTTCGACGATACGCCTACCGTCCCGAGGATACGGTCCTCCCGTCCTCAAGCAAAGGCAATCCCATCCTCGTCTCGGTTGCAGCTGATGTCCAGTACCCTTGACTGGGGGTCCCCGGCGCGTTCCGCACCGGGATTCGGTGACCGTCGCTCACTTGCCCCAAGCCCCAACACACAGGATGAACAGTTATCCTCTCCACCCGAATCAATGCTGACATCCGATGCGAAAATTAAAGCTCGTTCGGAGCATCATGGCCTGCGATTGGTGTCGCGCGATGACGTTCGCCGTCATAGCTTGCCAACTCCACGTCCTCCACAAATCGATTTGGAATTGGCCGTTCCGAACCGAAAGAAACTGGAATCGTTACCAGCACGCAGCAGGAGCCCCCGTTTCATTCCAGCAGTGGCAAGACACTCTTCCCTTTCACGGTCCTTGTTTGCCTCTCCTGCCAAACCGACCACGGCCAGAACCCCAGATGGACCCACCGTCCACGACAGCCACGACGAGCCGCTGATGCTTGACATCGCGCGACAAACACTGGGCAAGATGGCTGCCAACCATGGCTTCAGTCTTGACGTCGTTCGGAACGTGTTTGCACGCTCGCGCGATCTAGCGAAGACGGATACGGTTCTATTGAGAATGAGAAGAAAAGCGGAAGAGGTCGGAGAGGCCCAGTTTGGGAACAGCGAGGATGACCTCAGGCTGTGGTCCGAAGAACGTCAGTCGAGGAAGAGCGTAGCCAGGTCCCCGTGGAGAACTGGTGCTCCCGAGGAAGAGTTTCATGCGAGACCGTTCGAGCTGAACGCACACCCATTGGCCGAAACAGAGTACACACCTCCGCACGGAACGCGTGCTGCAGCGCTGATACGTTTAGCGCGGAAAGGACGTCTGAACGAAGGTGTCAAACGCGAACAGCGGCGAGTCAGCGCGGGGAAAACTGATCGCTCTCCGCGTTCTGGATCTCATTTCGCTCAGGCTGCGTTGCCATTCCACGAGCTGGCGTCTGCTGATGCGAATATCTTGACCAAGATGGAACGAGAGGATCTGCGATTGAGTATGTCGACGACGGCAGACGTAGCACGGTATATGAGATCCGGAATTGAGCCCAGCATCGATTAGCATGTCTTTTTGGCCCTACTTATGATTGATTATCTGAACCGTGCACTGCCGCATGCATGCTTGAATGTAAAAATCGCAGAAATCAAACACAAATATAAAACACTAACACACGAAAGGCCTTGGCCTTGCTGATAGTGCCAAAGGCTGGTTATCCCGCCTGCGACAAGCGTGAATGTCTCGAAATCACATCAAGCATAATTTATATGGAAGATACGTAATGATTGCTATGATAGGATGAGAGATAAAAGACCTCTACTTCTTCGTCTTGGCTTTCGGCCCAGGCTTCGGAGCGACTATTTTTGAAGCACCCGCCAGTGCCTTCTTTTTCTTGGGTGCCTTGATGAGCTTGTCCTTGGAGATATCGTCCCCATTATCCTCGTTATCTGAAGGCTCAGCAACATCATCTTCCATCTGAGAAACGGGATTTGACACGAGTGAAACCAGAGCGAATGAAACGGACCTCAAAAGCGTCTTCGATGTCAGGAGCCGGGCCGACCCCAAGCTTCTTGGGTGCTTTACCCAGATCAGTAGCCTTGTGAAATGGAATGGGGTGGTCCGACGCGTTGTACCTGTGGGACAGTCGATCACAATCCAGCAAGTTGACGATTTAACCCACTTTCTCGTCAGCGCAGTCTTGGTCGCAGTGGATATCCTCTTGAGTACAGCGTCATCTTTCTTCTCGTCAACACCGAGCTCGACAATCGTATCCCAGTCCTCTTTCGTCAGATAGTACTCGTCCATCCGCTCGATCACTTCTTCGACAGCACTCTATAGCGTGTGAGACATTATATACAATCAGGGACGCATGGTATGGCACTCACAGCTCCGGTATCAACCAACGGCTGAACGATATGTGGGTGCAATGCCGGGATATACGACTGCCGGATTTCGTTCTTGTCCCCAGATACTTTGAGTCGCATCCGGACCTGGACCTCACCGAGTTGCCTGTTCAGCTTCGTCTGCTTGGAATTCTGGCCTAGCCATTGAGGGAAGGACAACCCGTTCTGCCCTCCGTAATGAGCGCCTGTCCCATACATAAAAGATGTTGGACGGATGGTCGAGCAGACCGCATGCAGCGGCATCAGAGCCCAGTGCTGTTCTGGTCTAACAAGGGATGAGAGCAGAAACAGGGATACATAAATCACAGACCCGTGAATCAACGCATCCACGAGGTCGCCATCCGATATTGATGAGGCCGCCCGATCCATCAGCTCAAGACATTTTACCTGCTTCATCGGTCCATCCCAGCTACGCAGTCGCGCAGGCTCTGTTTTCAGGTAGTTTTCCTGGATAAACAATGGCATGAATGAATGATCCTGGAAGTAGTATTCCATCTTGTCCCCCAGACTCTCGCGCGCCGTTGCTGAGAACATGTACGGGCCCAGCATCTTGGAAGTGATGTCGAAAGGACTCATCATCGTGTACTTTTCGTTCATCTTTGTTCTGGGAGAAGTTCCTGGTTGAGTCCAAAGAAACAAAACGGACTACTCACAACGTCTTGCCTTCATCGAAGGACATTGTGTTACTCGACAGTTTCCACGTTGAAAGCATGTTCAAGATCTGACGGATATCCGACTGGGATCCTGCGACCAACTGATCGACGACGTTGGCTGGGATTTGAAGCTTCTCCCTGATATGATTCATCTCTCGCTGCGTTCATGAAAACGCGTCGCTCACTTGAAGGTGATGGTCATAATCCTGGACCGAATCATCGATGCTTGAGGACGTTGAAAGCTCATGTTAAAAGTCGTAGACATGAGCGGTTTGAGCTTCTGCGCTCCTCTGTCATTTGCAATGCAGATAATAGGAATCTAACAGTCATTCATCAGACCGCGTGTGGATCAGCAAGAGATTCCACCGGCCTTGGACTTCTTGATCAACGAGTTGAGGGCACCAACACCGCCTCGGTCCCCAGCAGACATACCATCCACTTCGTCCATGATGAGCACCGTCCTGTCAGTGATCTGCACGTTGTCGCTGTCGCGGGCACCGGCAATATATCCGTCCAATGACTTGTTGTTGATGTTCATCCCATTCTGCGCATGGTCAGTCGCTGGTTTCAGTTGGTGCTTGGAGGTAAAGCTCGAACATACCTCGACGAGTTTCTTGCTTCGCGTATCACTGGCGTTCAGTTCGATGGGGGTGAAACCTTCCAGTTTCGCCACCAGATGTGCACTAGTCGTCTTGCCAATTCCCGGTGGACCGGTGATGAGGATGGCGCGGAATATATTCATGCCATTCTTGCCCGGTTTCCGGAATTCACTCTTCAAGCTGTTTGGCCTAAATGATGAGTCAGAAGCGATTCTCGCAGAATCGTGTTGAAGCACCAATCCTTCAACCATTGCTGCATCTTCTCGATTTGTGCCTTATTCCCACATATCTCCTTCATATTCTGCGGTGCGTATCGAGTAGTCCACAGCTGCGACGAGGGATCTACTGCTCTCGGGCTGGACAAGATCAGCAGATGAAGCGAGAGAACTTCAAGAGTGCCTACCCTTCTTTCTTCTTGACCACCTTTTCGCGCTTCTCCATCTCTTTCGCGCTAGCTTCGATCGCCTGCTTTTCCTTCTCCATCTTGGCTTTCGTCTTATCATCCAACTTTCCTGTCCCTTTCCTCGTCGCGATCAGATTCAAAAACTCGTCCTCCGTCAAAGTCGCCAATCTGTGCTTCTTGATCGCGGCCAGCTTTGAGGGCCCAGCATTATCACCCAACACGACATAGTTTGTCTTACTCGACGGTTGACCCACAACGCGTCTGTTGTAACTGTTGTCAATCCACGCGAAGATGAGGATGCATGTCCACTGACCCGCCATATCGCTTTGCAATATCATTGGCCTCGTCACGCGAGAAGCTGCTCAGCTCCCCGGTAAAGACGAACGCAAGTCCGGCCAGAGCGTCTGGTGACCCGTCCGGTACTGTTTTCGAGCCTGGTGCCGAAGGACCTGCTGATTTCGCAGCTTTGGCGGCAGCCCAGCTTTGAGCTCATTCAGTGACAACTGTGCGTCGCTAATGTAGAATGTACCTGAGACGTACTTGAATTTAGGTTTCCCAGTTTCGACCTCTTTTGTCTTTGATGCTGAAGAACTAGCCTTGGGAGTAGCCTTGGATTTGACTGCAGGGCCGTTCTTATGACCGACCCTGTCCTCCTCGTCTGAGACAATGAACTCTTCGTCTTGGACTCTTGATGAGTGGCGTTTGAACTTGCTGCCGCTAGCGACGGGCGCCCTCAGTTTAGGCTTTGATTTCGGAGGCACCTCATCTTCCTCTTCGCTGGACAAGAGCAACGCGCTTGGCTTTCGGGCAGTTGGTCTCGGAACCGGGAAATGCTCCTCGTCGCTTACGGACGTGTCTGCAGCTTCAGGAAGACGAGCCTTCGGCTTGGAGCGCACGGCCGGTACACCCTTCTTCCTAGGTCGCGTTTCTTCATCCTCGCTCGAAAAGAGTGCGGTCGCGTTGGAGCGTTTCTTCGTGACCGGTTCATCGTCACTACCAATATCCATGGGGGTGACTGGCACAGGAGCCTAAGAATCTGAAATTTGGTACTCGAGAAGCGACGATCTGGCAAAGACTGACAGATTTTCGTGCAGTTAGCGGCTTATCCGGCACAGGGTGCTGAATTAGAAGTGCGTGAGCAGCCCACATAGTAGAAAGGAATCTTGCGCTTGCCGAGGACTCGAGAGCCGGAACCGGCTCAGTGTTCAGGGCCACCTTTGAGCTAAAGAGAATTAAGCAGGATAAACTCCTACACACGACGCACACTAAACTGACTTTTTCACTGCCTGAGACGGGCTATGATTCTCAAAATCGACAATCTGGGACTCAAAGATGGAGGATGCTCACTGAGCTTCATTATCACCTTGTAAGAATCAGCGGGGGATACATGAATAGGGAGGGAGCGTACTAATCTCTATAACTTCATCATGTCGCGCTCTCTAGCAGGGGCAAAGGTGGGATCATTGTGCAGAGCGATTTGCCAGGGTACCCACCTGGGATCGTGGAGTAGATGATGATTCTTTATTGAAGAAGGAGCGGATGTCCTTGACGGCCGGCTGAGAGCTTTTGGGGGTCTTCTGCGTTGGAGGCATGGTGGATACGCGCCAGGTCACGGATTACACGTACGGTCACATGAACTCGTCCCACGAGTCACATCCCAGAAGCGGCGTTTTCTCGGGATTTCTGTCCTGATTGATAAGATGAATCGATTTCCTGAGAGGTGGTAAGGACGATTCGAGCGTAAGAAACTTAAAGTCGACAATTCCAACGTTTTGCTGGCCCTGGCAATTTACCTGTTTTCATACATGCAGTGCGATCAGCTGAGCAGTCAGGTGCCCCCAGCGAGTACGGATCAGGTACAAGTCGGCACATCGGGCCGAGTGCTTGCAAGTGATCGCACGGTCCGGGAAATCACCAGACCCGTGCGTTCCCAACTTGATAATTGCCACATACCTGCATTGCTGCCATGGCCGCAAAGGGCCAGCAGGCCTCCGCTCCCGTCCTTGCGGTCGTTCCCAACGGACTCGACACTCGGGACGCACTACAGCTCTGGTCTGGTACGTTCACACCTCTCCCGTTGCAAAAAGCTCCATTCACTTTGTTTTCCCCACGTATGCAGTATTTTCAAAATGCAAGGATTCACTACAGAACGGGCGCCGCCTTGAAAACCTTTCATGGCGCTTGGCCTCTCGGCATTCGGTGCAACGACAGGGTGGCAGTGGGTTACTTGCTCCGACCTGGCCACCGACGCCCGAGTCGGTGTGCAGCGATGACTCAAATCGCTCCAAGTCAAGTAATAGCAGCGCCCGTCACTCGAGCGACTCGGATTCTTCGCGTTGGTCGAGGGAGAGCGTTGCTTCGCCTTTTTTCCCCGATCTCAGTGTGTTGCTTTGTCCCTGCCTTGGTTTCATCGTTTGTTAATCGATACTCGAATAGAGCTGGTTGCCCCCGTGCGGACAGCAGGGCAGTTCATACGCGAAATCGTCGTCCCGGAGCTTTCTGAGAAGCTTACGAAGGACGACGAGATGAACGCCAAGAAGGAGCCGAAGAAGCAAGGCTACCCCGCACCCATTACTAGCAGTTTGTCAGGCACTAACTCTACTTTGGCGGCACAAGCTACCGATACAACCGTTGACCATGGCATCACTGTTCCCCGCGTCGTTATCCTCGACGCTACGCCCAATCTCACTCCTCATCCAACACCGCCAGCATCACCGGTCTTGCCCGCTGCGTCACCAATCAGTCTTGAAGCGGCGGTTCCTTCTGACCCAGCTACTTCTTTCGAAAACGCCAAGCTTACAGCCAATGTGGACCCAGCAACTGGACGCAATCCGTCACAAGCAATTTTCTTGTCACGATCCGCCGCGCGTGGCATGGGATCACCCGGAGTCATATCCGCACTGTCTTCGTCATGTTCTGCTACGGGTTCATCCCTACTACCGAAATCTACGCATAACCTGCCGATTGGGGGCCAGGACTGCCAGCCAACCAAACTCGGCAGGGCCGGCAAATTCCTCTTGGGATTAGAATCGAGTTCAGATTCGAGTAGTGACAGTTCTCAAGAGCGGGGGAAGCAGAAAGGAGACCAGGAACGGCTCGGTGATACTGGTGACGTTGCCCGGGGAAGAGTTCGGTCTAGGGCGGCAAGTGTGGTGGACCGAGATCAACCTCCGTTAATCAAACAGCAAGGGCCATCTAAGCAGCAAGGGCCATCCAAGCAGCCAGTACAGCCTCCGGCGCCCAAACCGCCAGCCGGCCCCCCTCGGATTGTCTCAGCGCCATTCTTGGGTGGTCCTGAGGTCAGTCAAGATCTGATTACCCTACCCTCGCGTTCCTTATCTGGTTCTATGCAGGCATCAACACGCCGGCCGGAACGGGAAGCATCTTCTAGCCGGCATGTGGACGCTGACGATACACGCTCTGAGAGCTCGCTTGCCTCGTCGCAGGTGCATGTTCAGACACGTGGTAAAGGTGCCATGCGTGGCCTGGCTCGGCGGGCAACGGCCTCCAGTTCACGCTCTCGATCACGTGTTGCTCTCAATAAGCTACCTCAGCCGTCAACCAATCTGGCCGCAGCCGAGGCGATGGTCGCAAAACAGGCGTTGGGGTCGGGGCGAAAGATGATCGTACTTGCGACAAGTGATGACGAAGAAGGCGATTGGAGTGATGAGGAGGATAGTGCCGTGAACGAGAGCGTGGTGAACGAAAGTGTGGTGCAGGAAGAGGATGGTGAATGGGAGGATGAAAGCGAGGCTGATCCTGGGATCGAAATTGACCCTGCTCCTGCCCGCCCTACCCATTCCCGAGGTCGCAGTACAGACGACACAGAACCACGGCATTCGGCTACCTCTGGACTGCGTCCGATGCATCGCTCTACGGGACATCTGCCTACTTTGGTGAACGGACAAAGCCGGCTCAATCATGGACGCGGAGCGCAGACGAAATATCAGCCGACAACAGCAGACCAGAACGCCCGAACGGCCCGAGCATTGAAGGCAACGATGAGCGCAACGACGCTTGCAAGCATTTCTGATGCGCTGATGGAGGAACAACGGAAACACGACCTATTCGCCAAAGCACCCCGGAAGAGTTACGAGAACCTGACACAGCTCAGCCAGCGTCCCGGCGGTTTGAGTGTACTGCTCGCACAGGGTCGCAGCCAGGCAGCGGAATATTGGCAGCAGCAGCAAGAGAAGATCGGGCAGCAGATGCCACCAGCACCGGAGCAGCAGGTTCCCCAAACGCCCAGACATCGACTTGCTGGCGGATTCGGCGGATTAGGGCTAGCGATGACACGTGCGCCATTGGCGCCTATCCCCCCGGCCCCGGCCCCGGCCCAAGAACGAGAAACAATACCACACCCTACTAAAGAAACACCACCCTTGACTCATTCTCGTGCGCCCTCGACCAGCCGGCGACCGGCAGTGACGCGTGCGACGTCGAGCAGCGCTGTCCCCAATTTTGCAGGAACGCCGGTCAGCGGCTCGCTAGGCAAGAGTTCCGTTGCAGGGCCTGTTGTGACGAATGGACGCACAGGAGGATATCGACCAAAAGGGCCACCGGCGGAAGTCGAATTTGATGACGACGAGTCTGATGCGGACGGGCGTGACAAGGGCAAAGGCCGGGCGTCGAATTCAGGCGATGACCTGCCACTCTCCAAGAGTGTTGCGCAGGAGAAGCTGCGTATTTTAGCAGAGCAGACCGCGATTCAGGCCAAAGCTCAAACAACCGACACTGCAGCTGAGCGCAGGAGACTCTACGAAGTGGCTGGTGTCGTTCCTTGGGCGTCTGCTGCCAACAATCACAACGTCAAGCAGGATTTCGTGGCGCAGTCACCTCCGAACCGCTCGATGGCGACTGTGGCCGTCGGATTCCCAGTCGCGCCCTTGCCAACCCCTGTTCCACCATCCACTCCGCGCACGACTCGGCGAACCATGTTGCAGAACGAAATGTCAGCAAGCTTGCGCGCAAATCTTCTCAGACAACGCAAACTCAGTCGGAACGACCTGCTTGGGCCTGTGCCTCGGAGAACGAAAAGCACTGTCCATATCCCCCACGAGAAGAATCTCGTCAAACTCACCGAACGACCGCCCGGAGTCGAACGTCGAGACGAGCTGCCGCTGCTGCCGATGGACCAGATTTTGCACGGTCCACAGGCTCAGAAGAAGCTTGTTCGGAACTACAGCTGGGCTAATACGAGCGAAACTTACCACCGTTCTGGCTGGTAGTCGTCTTGCTAAATATATATTACTCTACTGTACCAACTCATTCACTCGCACGCATGTATCAGTAACACCGGCTGTCCTTGGTTTTCTCTACTGTACATAATTTGGTCAATCCGCATGGTCGTTTTCTGGAGATCGTATTCTTTCTTCGATTCTTGCGGTCAAGTGTGTAGTAAAAGGTTGCTGACCAACCAACGTTTCAGCACGCCAATCACTGCTCACAACCGATTACGTGACATTGGATGACGCATCTGCCCAAGCGATTGCTGCCTGATTTTTTCCTGCATCGGCTCCGTGCTGAGCATTCCTCGGTGACTGCGCCGACGATCTTAATCGATATATAAGCTCCGCCTTCACCTCTAAGCATCCCTCCCTCCTACCTAATACTCTCCCGGACCTTTGGATCGATATGGAATTCGTCCCTGGACCCGCCGTCCACCAAATCCTCTGCGCCGATTGCGGTTTGTAAGATCGGACGCCTTCTCGCACTCTCACTGAATTTGTCGCATGTAGGAACACCCATCACCCCGAACTCTGCCAATCTGTGTGTCGCATGCTTGCGAAATACGTGAGTCGACTCGCATGGCATCAGGTACAAAAATGGCTGATGAAACAGTGTGGACATCACGGAGGGCATTCCCAAGCAGGGTACGTGCCGCTGTCAGAGAATTAGAAACACGATCTGAAGGTTCCATCCCAGCGTCCGTGTCATTCTGCCGCAACTGTGAACGATTCCTGTCCCCGCCGCAAACTTGGACGCCCGCACGACCGGAATCCTCGGAACTGCTCTCGATATGCCTAAGGAAACTTAAAGGTCTGAACAAGGTCCGACTGACAGAGGCCCATTTTATTTGGACGGAGCCCCACTCGAAACGTTTGCGGGTGTCGATGACAATCCAGAAGGAGGTCGGTGATGGAGACCAGCCGGTGCCCTACAGATCCTGATACATTCCCGTTGCAGGTGCTCACAAACACCATTCTCGAGCAGACATTCGAACTCGAATATCTTGTTCAGCACGGACAGTGCCCGGATTGTGCCAAGCTGGCTGCCAAGAACACATGGAAAGCGCTCGTCCAAGTACGACAAAAAGTCCCACACAAACGGACGTTCTTGTTCCTGGAGCAACTCATCCTGAAGCACGGCGCTCAAAAAGACACAATCTCAGTCAAGGAGATGAAGGACGGGCTGGACTTCTTCTACAGCCAGCGCAGTCACGCAATCAAAATGGTCGAATTTCTGAACGGAGTAGTGCCTGTCCGGTGGGTTGAGTCGTTTGCACATGGGTTTTCCTAAACTCACATCTCTCTCCAGCTCTAAATCTTCCGAACAACTGCTGTCTTCTGACACACATACCAACACTGCCAATTACAAATTCACGTATTCGGTCGAAATCGCACCCGTATGCAAAGACGACCTGATCTGCATCCCCCAAAAGCTCGCCCGCCAAATGAGCAACATCACGCAACTCGTTGTCTGCACACGAGTAGGGAATTCCCTGCAGCTGATGGATCCTTCCACGCTGCAAACAGCGGAAGTGCCGACACACGTGTTCTGGCGCACGCCGTTCGACTCTCTCGCCACCGTCTCGGATCTCGTGGAGTTCACGGTGCTGGATATTGAAGCGGATGGACGGACGCGAGGGAAGTTTATGCTTGCAGATGCCCAGGTCGCTTTGGCCGGTGCGTTCAGAGCACATAAAGGGGGATTGGAAGACACCGAGATGGATTACGACGGAACGGGTGGCCGAGCGGAGCAAATATACCACACGCGAACTCACCTCGGAGGGATTCTGCAGCCTGGGGACACTGTTCTCGGATACCATCTGACCAATGCCAACTTCAATTCGGAGGATTACGCGAATCTGCGAGCAGAGCATTTGCCCGACGTCATTCTCGTCAAGAAGACGTATCCGAACAGGAGAAAGAAGAACAAGTCTCGTAACTGGCGCCTGAGGTCGATTGGAAAGGAAGCTGGCGAGGAGGGAGAAACGGGCAGCGGACGAGGCATCGTTGGTCGCATGGGAGGACGAGATCAAAAGAAGGTCAATGAGGACTACGAGATGTTCTTGCGGGAGTTGGAGGAGGATCCAGAGATGCGTTCTGCGGTCAATCTGTACAGGGCTTCTAATCCAGCCCCGAGCTCTGGAGATGTTGCCATGGATGGGTCGAGTGGAAATCGTGGAAAACGGAGAGGAAAGCATGCACAATCCGCCATGGATGTTGATGCGATTGAGGAGACACCAGAGCGTGTCGCCGATATCGGGGATGAAGATGAGGAAGAAGAAGAGGCCGACTTCCCAGATGTGCAATTGAATGAACTGCTCGAAGGCTTTGACGAGATGACCCTGGGACCAGAGCCTGAAGCCGAGGACGAAGTTTAATACCAATTTGTACATGTACATAGAACCATCACATATGTATCCATTACTATTCGTTTTGAAAAGATGTCATGACACTCGTTCCTCCCACTTGGAGATTAGTCAAAAATAATGTACTGTCCAATAAGTGCGCAGCATAGATGGCAGAATAGAAGATCTGAATACTTGGATATGTTACATATTCGCTAGCGAGTCCCTTTCCGTGTTGTCCTACGCGGTCGTTTCTTCCCGTTATCCATCGAAGCACCCAACAAATTTGCCAAGCGCTGCTGCTCAGCAAGCTGAGCCGGATCCTCGTACAAAACTTGCAGACTCTGCTCATCTGCGCTTCCCACACTGAGCCCTTCTAATGGCTCATACGTCACTTGACTGCCAGTGAATATCATCTCGTTATTCACAACGGTTTTGTCGACGACCATCACCGGCAAGGCATCCGAGGGCTGGCGCGATTGCGGTTGCCGGGCCGGTCGACCTCGTTTGGCTGCTCGACTACTCGTCGCATCCTCTGGAGTGGCTGCGCGTTTCCCAAGCAGCGAAACCATGCTCTCTTGCAAAACTCGCGCACGTTCTTCCGACATTTTAGGCGGAGATACGCTTGCACCTCTTCGAAGTGGTGAGGGCGAGACCGATGAAGGCACGACTGCATTCGGAGACGAGGATAGCACTCCAGCACGGGGAGCGGCAGTGCTCGTCGTTCGTCTCACGAGTGATCGATTTGAACCACTCTTGGATGACTCCGCCGGTGTAGACTGATGTCGTTTCACCGGACTGGGGGTTCTTGGTGGTTCTATCGACAGACCCCGTGCTTTGCCAAAGGAAAGCGCTGGCCCAACCCCGACTTCTTCAAATGAGACAGAACGAGATTGAGGCGGCAGTACTCCTTCCTCTTGACTGTCTGTCGGGAAATGAGTCGCAACCCGGTATCGCACGGATGAGCGCACCACAACTTTTGGTGATTTCTTGGATCTCACTCTTCTTCTCCTTGACTGCTTGCTGATCATCTACGAGATAGGCTTGCACTGATGGCACAACGCCTGTCCGCCTCATCTCAAACAGCCAACCCATGTCTACAACCGGTATTTTCCACTGCATAGCATATTGGAACTTGCTTCCTGCCGCCGAAGGACAGAGCAGATGCGTCGATTGCCGTGAGAAAACATTCGCCAGAGTCACGCCTGCCATTGCTATGGGCGAATAGAAGCACACAGATAATCATCGTACCTAAAGCCTTGACAAGTCGCTGGATCCAACATGTCTCCGCAGCGTCCAGTCCCGAAAAGCTGAAAACGATCTTGTCTGCATCTAGAATACTCGGTTCGTAATTCGGGAGATGAGAATTGGCAAATCACATACCTGGGACGGGTGTCTCTATATCCAGTGGCGCAAAACAGGGATTCGAGTCCACGTCACAAAGTGCTTCCTTGAAAAGACAGTGCTCCAGCCAGCAATCTGTTCTGTATCGTTCTTGCAGCCTTTCAGAGGTTTCCGCGCGATAAAGTGCACTTCCGCTATTCATTTTAGCCCGAATACAGATCGTGCAACGGACCGCCACACACCTGACCAACCGAACGACGATGAAATCCGCCGTTTCTGAATCATGAACCAGAGTTCCCCCGGCTTGGTGAACTGCTTCTTGCACCTTATTCGTATCTGTCTCTCCCCGGAGTAGGATTCTCAATCCAGAAAAGACTCCAGGTACATTGTTCTTGGATCCCTCGACAGCCTGGGGCTCCGTGTGATTGACAGGAGTTCTCGAACTCGCCGCACGAGCAAACGGTATCCGACTGGGACCTGCAGTGACACTCTCGGGAGGAACTGATCCAGCTCGGGGAACCACCAGGGAATTCGCTCGTCGGAAACTAGACAGTACACTCTGCCCTTCAGCCAATGTCTCTTCGGCCTCTTTCGCTTGCTCGCGGCGTCGCTTCAGAACCAGTTCCCTCGCCTTGCCAGGGCTGAGCATCAAGCCACTCCCGGCAACCTCGTATCCGCGCTTCTTGAGCAAACTGCCCCACACTTGTAGTGTGACAGCAGGCAAGCGCTGGACCTGCACGATTTCATCTTCCTCGCCTTCTTCGTCGTAAGCACTTGAAAGTTCCACAGGGGTCGGCTCGACGTTGACATCAGATATCACCGTCGTGACTGTACAAATCAGACAATGTCACTTCGCCTGATATTGCACAGAGCAGAGCGCACCTCGCCGTTCTGGTCTGGGCAGCCGTGCTTGATAGCGAGTCTCGTCGAAACGACCTAAAAAGCTGAGATATTTGCGTCGTCATTGAGAAGCATGCGCACCACCGAACTCGACACAATCCCAGAACCATTCCTCCCAGACCAGTTGAATTGGTGGCTTTGCCTCCCCCCGTTCGTTAAACTTCTCCGCGTACCGCATCTTCTCTGTTTCGTCCTCGCCCGAGCATAGCAGATGCGTGACACACACAGGTCGTTCTAGATTCTTGACATACGTTCCTCCGTGCTGATTGATTAGCTTGCTAATTTTCGTCCTTCGAACTAGGTCAGTTATGCCAGATATACACAATGTGACTCCAGAGAATATCGGAAGACGATGTATGGCGACACTCTACTCCATACTATGAGGCAAGTTCAGACACGCACAAACATACACACCTCGTCGAGATCGACATCGTCGCCGTGCTGCCAAATACGATGGCTTTCAAGAATCCAGGAAGGCTGTAAGATGGGAATCTTGCGTTCCAACGCACACTGGCAGGAGTGAATGATGTCCTTCGCACTCAGAGTCAATACGCACCTGGTATTTCGGCCCTCCAGGTGCCTCGGCAACGAGATGTGTGACACGGTCCGTGAACGCGCTGACGCTGCTCGCACCGAGCTCAAGCGCAAGTTTAAATAGAGAAGTCTGCTCTCGACGCGTCAGCGGCAGTCAATGAGACGAACGGACAATCGTGACCCGCGCGTACCTTGTCCGCCACGCCCGTGGCACACACTACTACGTGTCTAAATGGCCTTGGACACGAGCCTGATAACATGACGGTGTCATCACTCCCCACAATCTGGCTATCCTGGATGAAGCATTCGGAGTTCTCGCGTTCTGGGATGCGTGCTGCACGCGCTACGGCCGAAGGATGGGCGGGACGTAGACGGACATTTGGAACCTGTCGTGAAACCTTGTTGAATGACGGCAGGAAGACGCGTGAATAGGCGATAGACCTTTTTGGATTTGTTGGCCCGCCGTTTCATGGGTCCTGGCAGTGGGATGGAACAAGGATTGTTGTCTCACGTGAATAACTGCTGATCAGATCAGATGGAGTTATCTGAGAGATACCAACTTGATCAAGATGCCTTTACAGTCGTGACATTGCGTTCGTAGATATACAAGACATTAAATGTATATAATATATGCAGCAAGAAAAAGAGTGTGAGATAGGATACGGGTATCGGAGAGACGTCGTTCAATCATCGTCGCCATCATCAGGTTTACTTTCAGGGACAGCACCACTAGCCGCTTTCTCGATGGCCTTGCGGACAGGATTTTGGCTGGGAGGAATCGCCCCAGTTCTCTCCAGACGGTCAAACAACACAAAGAGCTTTTCCATCTCCTGTTCCTTTTCCTCCTGGGTCATCTCGGGCTCTGGTGGTCGAGGAGCTTGTGCTGTGCCTGTGATCGGGTTGATATTATCGGCCGAGGCGGCCTCGACGGCCGAAGCGGCACTGCTCGTTCCGCTCGGTGGAGGTGGCGCAGCCATGATGCCCTTGTTGAACAAGAAGCCAGCAACGTTGCCGTAGCCAAGCAGGGCTGACATGACCGACGCGTCGGAATCGCAGATGGCAAAGAGCATCTCCCCAATCGAATCCTTGACACGGGAGTGATAGACACTGGACATCAGTCGAAGACATCGGCCCAGTGTGTCTGTCCGCGTCTCCAGATTCCCACCCGCCGCACTTCGATCGAGGTCTGTGGGAATGAGCCAATCCCGTGTGCGTGTTCGAGCATTCTCGTCCGCTTGACACAGTCGGGTGATGAGTACGATGAGTGGGGAAAGCCCGTCATCCAGAGAATCCGAGCCGCCTTCCGCCTTAACTTTCTCCCGCACACTGATATCGTCTGCATCGGTCGCATCCGGAAAGTAATGCGACAGCGCGATATCAAGCAAGTCGTGAGCCCGCACTAACGTATCTTGGGGGCCTTTGGAAGGGGGAATAGGCGATGGAGATCGTGACAACCGACCGGCCGAAAGTACCGACAAGGCCCGGTCCAAAGTACTGGGCTTGGGAGAGCCGGCGACACCGCTGCCATTGCTTCGCACGGGAGATTGAGTCCGACTGGAGCCGGAGGAGGCATTTCGCCTGGCTTTGACCACAGGAATTGCTTTCGGTGACGACGATCCACTAGAGGCCGGGGTCCCTCCGAACCATTCCGATCGCAAGGCCGGGCTCACCGGAATGGTGATCAGTGTGTGTATGACATGGGTCAACGGAGGCGCTATCGGAGCGGGGAACGTCGGTGGCAGGGCATGGAACACACGCAATAACGACGGCAAAATGCTTTGCACAGAATCAGGAACAAGCGCATTAGACAAATGGTGATGACATACGGATCTAACTTGGAACTCCAGGCGTCCCCGATGACCTTCAATCCTTCCGTGGGGTCGACCAGCTTAGGATAGTGCATGAGAATGTTAAACGCGAACTTGAGGACGTCGACCATCGCTTCCCGCGCCATCTTCGTCCCAGACAGAAGACTGATTACTAAGAGATCGAGTTTGCCGCTAACAACGTCCACAACAGTATGGCCGTGGCGCTTATCCTCGACCAAGGATACAATAAAGGGTGAGGCGTGTACAGTGGATAAGAAAAGAATGCGAGCCAGGATAAATATCTGGTCGGCGTTGGTCGCTTTCTGGGATCATGTCAGTCTTCCCAGGGAGAAATCCGTGTCCGTGTACGCGCACCTGCAGAAGATTTACACAGATATCTCCCCCATTCACTTCCTTCGACACAAAGGCGATTCGAGCACGTTCTATGAGCAGCATTGCATTGGCTATGCATCTTAAAGCCTCACATGATGCGTCAGGATCGTCTTTGAGAGAGGTAGCGATATCGAGCAGGACGGTCAGGTTTGTCGCATTCCCGAGTAATTCAGAGCCCGTGGGGTTCTTGCCCAAGTTCTTCAGCGCGAGCAAGGCAAGTCCGTTGTCTGCCAATGTATCGGGTGAAAACTGAATGGACGAATGCACGGATTTGACCAACCCTTCGAGGATATCCTGCCCTTAGACGACTTGAGATCTTTCAGAAGTAAACCGATGAGCTGTGTACGCGACTCCGCGTCGAAGGTGAAAGCGGGAGCTGTGGAAAGCGGCAAATAAGCGAAGGCCGGGTGCCTGACCAAAGAAGAATTACCATTTACAATCGCATTGAGGACCGGTTGGATGTCAGGTGAGGATGCGGTCTGGTACTGCTCGAGCAGGGTAAGCTGCCCAGCAGACATGGGAGAGAGAGCGGAACCGGCGTTGCCAGGCGACGAAGATTTGGCCCATGTTTCGGCCAAAAAGATTCCGATATCGATTCAAAATATATTCACCCGCCGTGTGCCGACTCCCGTGCCTTTGTAATCTTGTGCCTCGCTCAGCTATTTCATACTCTTCCGCTCCACTTTTGGCCTCCCTCTCGACTGCTACAAAAAAAAGCAGCCGAAAAGCATGCCCAAAGTCACATGTACAACGGCCTGCACAATCTCAGTATTTTGTCTTATCATGCGCGCACTTGTCAGTCGGCGCCCTCGGGCACTATGGGCCAGTCCATCTGCCGATTCGATTTTCATCCCCCCTGCTTCTCAGCCCCAGCTCCCGTCCGCGACCCCCAATTTTCCTATACCCGTCCGAGAAATGCTCGATTGAGTACACACTCGTTGTCGGTCTGATCGGCTCGAACAAGCAGCGTTGTTTGCTGTCCAGGCTTGTCATGAAACCAGTCACGTGCAAACTCTCTGCCCAAGCCCTCGGTTTGAACTTCCGGCGTTGCTGCTTCGACACAACGTCCTTCATCGGGCATCTTGCGACCATACACGTAAGAATCCGATGAATTGGTCAATGACTGTGGCATGCGTTGAGACTGTAAGTAGAGGAAGATGAGATAGTGAGAGCTAAAACGAGTTGAGGGTGCAAATGAAATGCAGTGATACGACAATGTGGATGAGAATGATGACTCTGAATAGGGAAAAGGCGAGGATCAAAGCTACCAGGCGCCACCATCCCAGCTGGCTCGCTTCCTCTTGCCCTTCAAGCTTGCCCCTGGAGCAACGGGTTGCAACAGCACATCCTGCGGCCTAACGCTCGCAGCACTCTGACGTCGCTGGTGTCTGGTGGCGGGGTTAATGCTGGTGCTGGTAACGGGCTGATTCATTCCATGGGCATGACCACTGCCACTGACGCTGCGCATCAACGGGCGAGGCGGGGCCTGTTTGTACAAAGCACTCGTGGCTGGTGGCGGCGCAAGTGGAGCGACGGGAAGTGAGAATACAGCGGGAGAAATTCCTGACGATGAGCTGGCTCGTGCCAGATCAAGTGCTTGCCATCCCTCTAGATGCATCTGCTGGAATGTGGACGCAGGCCCAGCTGCGTTGTAATGCAGATCCAAAAACGGCAAATTCTGGTTAGCAAGAAGTGTTGGATCTAGCCCAGTCGGCGGCAGGTCTGGTGGGACAGACGTGGAACGAGCTGCTGCAGCAGCATTTGCGTAATGATGATGATGATGGTGATGGTGGTGGATGTGCACCGTTCGCGTTTGTGTCTGTGGCGTGCCAGGTGGTTCAAACGAGTCTACTGCGTTTCCATCCATTTCGGAATCTGGCGGATCATTCGGAAGGTCGACAAGATCATCCAGTGGGAACAATCCCACTTTGTCTTCTTCGGCAGGATCAGGGCCCGTATCTTCCTCCAACTTGCCTCCCCTTGGGGCTTCAGCGATCCCAGCTAGGCCACCGGGCCGGGTCCACAAGTCAAAGCCACTCCACGGTGGCTGATGAGTCCTGGCCCCGAATATAAGATCCCCTGCTGTGTTCACGTGGTGCGTGAACCCCCGGAACCCACCGCCCCAACTCGACGTTCCTCCCCCCGGCTCAGATTCGTACTCTCCGGTGTTTGAAAGCTGTTCATCGAACACACTGTCCCAGTCCCCATCCACGGTTCCGGTTTCACTCGATGTGTGCACATCGCTGAGTGACAGTGACGCAGAATGGAAAGACAGAGCCGGTGACGAGAATCCATGGGGCGTGGAGGCTGCCGACTGCCCTGGACTGTGGTGATGATGATGATGCACGTGATGTGCAGGTGCAAGATCATATCGCTCTAGGACGCTGTGAGACACGTCGAAGAATGGTCCACTGGCATCACCCGTAGTGTCGCTCGTGTCCCACGGAGAAAACGGCGAACGGAACGTCCCTGTACCGTACGATGGATCTAGCCTTGGATTTGCACTTAACCAATCCTGCGTTCCCCATGCACTGCGCCCGATGGTCTCTCCTGGCTGCTGCATTGCACCGAGACTGTGCACCTGCTGCTGATGTAAGATCTGGGCCTGCAGTTTGCTCGGGGCTAGCCCCGCTGCTGGAGACGATAGCGATGGCGGAGAGGACAACGGCGAAGGAGTCACATCGGGCATTGCTTCGTCTTGCTCGCTCGCATTGGCCGGCGATGCGACATCAAGTTTATGCATCCCACCCACCAAAGCCGACTCCTCAGTGGCCGGCATGGCGAAGCTGAACCCAAATTCACCACCCCGGCCAAAGCTCATCAGGTGAGCATTTCCCATCACCCCTTCGTCATCGGATGTCGCGGCACTGGCTGGCATGGATGTCGTCTGGAATCCCTGACTAGTATGCGCCCGCTGGCGTCTCCGGACCGGACCTCCGCCGGCACTGGCACTAGGCCCTGCACTCAGCGCTGCGATTCGCGGGGGCACCGGTCCATCATCCGTGTGGGATCTGCCGATTCGACCTCGGCCGCGCTCTGGTGGCTGGGTTTCATCGTCTTTCACCGCAGCATCGGCGTTGTCTTTCTTGCGAGCAGCCCTAGGTCTAGCTTTGTAGCCTGCACGCTCGTATTCGCCGGGCCACGCATTCCTGAACCGGTCTCTCAGATCCATACTTCTTCTGCCAGTGACTGCAAAAACAGGCGCATCCTTGGCGATCACCGCCCATGCCGCGCCATGTTTCCGGAATCCCGCTAGAAGTGCGTTGTCTTCTTCTTGGGTGAATGGCCGGCGACGTGGATGAGACGGTGTTGGTAACGGAAACAGAGGTGTCCCATCAGGATGCGTCGACCGGTTGGCTTTGGCCTTGGTAGGGGAAATCGGGTCCAATGAAGATGACGATGCCAGGGCGGAGGGCGAAGTTGATCGGGCACGGGCTCGAGCGATCGAGGGAGGGAGATGTGTGCGTGCGTTAGGATAATGGGTTCTATAGGCTTCAGGGAAGTATGTACGGAACCTGGTTCAATTCAGTGCATCGTACATCGCATGATCGTCTCGACCAACCTGTCTTTTAGATCGACTGGGGAGCGACTTGAGAAGGTCAGATTTGGGTCAGATAGGATGGCCTTCCAATTTCCAACGCCATGCTAGTTCGTTGCATTGAACACAGCATACGACACCAGAGATGAATTGAACGCACGATATTACACCCGTCAACCAGCATCTGCGTCTCCTCAGGTGTCCACTTCCTACGCACTTTCTTGCCATTTGAACTGGCACCAGCAGGATTGATTCCTGCGCCGTCACCAACATCGTATTCCTCTTTCGCCTCAACGTCCGTATCGCCTATCCCCTTCTTGGACAAAAATCCAACCACATTTCTGTGGCCAAGAGAGGACTGCATCACAGATGAATCCGAATCGCAGACAACAAACAGCATCTCCCCGATAGTTTCCTTCAATCGTGTGAAATGAACACACGACATCAACCGGAGACATCGTCCGAGCAGGTCCGACCGCATCTCCAGAGTACCGGCCGCCGCACTTCTGTCTAGGTTGGCTGGAATAAGCCATTCGCGTGTCCGTGACCGGGAAGTCTCATCGGCTTGACATAATCGAATGATCAACACGATGAGCGGTGATAGTTCGTCGTCCAGAGAGTCCAGGATTCCCTCCGCTTTGACTTTTCCTTGGACAGCGATATCATCTGCCTGGGTGACGTCCGGAAAGTAGTGTGCAAGAGCCTTTTCGAGCAAATCATGCGCCCGGAGCAATGTGTCTTGCGGACTTCGCACGGGAGTCTGCGTCCAACTGGACCCTGAGAAAGTGTTCCTTCGAGCCTTGAGAGTGCTTGGCGTGGGGACAGACTGTTGTGAAGACGATCCGGTGAGCTCCATCGACCCACCATACCATTCCGATCGCAACGCTGGATTGACAGGAATATTTATCAGGGCTTGTAATACTTGAGTGAGTGGAGGTGATATCGGAGCGGGGAAGGTCGGTGGTAATGTATGGAACACTCGCAATATTGGCGGTAGTATGCTTTGAACGGATCAGGGACCTAGACACTCGGCGCATGTAGATTACACACAGATCTAACTTGGGATTCCAGGTCTCCCCGACGACCGGGGCACCTGCCAGTTTAGGATAGTGTATGATCACGTTGGACGCAAACTTGAGGACGTCGACCATCGCTTCTCGAGCCATCTTCATGCCAGACAGAAGACTGATTACTAAGAGGTCGAGTTTCCCGCGAACCATATCGACAAAAGGGTGGCTTTGCTGGTCGCCCTCGACCAAGGATACGATGAAGGGTGAAGGATGGGCAGTGGATAAGTGAAGGATGCGAGCCAGGATAGATATTTGTTCCGCGTTAGTGGCTTTCTGGATACAATCAGCCTTAGATACACGAGAAAGCAACGTTCCGAGAATACGAACCGACAGAAGATGCACACAGGTGTTGGGCCCGTTCACTTCCTTCGACAAGAACGTTGCTCGTGCAGGCTCAACTAATAAGGCGTTTCCAATGCATCTCAAAGCCTCTCCTGATGCCGCTACCTCCTCTTGTAGGCTGAGTGCGATTTCAAGAAGGGCGCTCAGATTCGTAGCAGTTCCGAGGGTTTCCGAGCCAGCAGCAGTCTTACTCAAGGTCTTAAGTGTAAGCAGTGCAAGTGTGTTGTCTGTGAATGTGTTCAATTCAGTAGAGAGGCGTACGACGTCTACAAACCCCTAGGTAGAATTCTGGATGATTTGATATCCTTCAAAAGGAGGCCAATGAGCTCTGAACGCGAATTCGTGTCGAATGTGAAGGGAGGAGCTGTAAAAGGCAGAAGTGAGTGAAAGTCACAGTGTCTGACAAAACAAGAGGGACCGTTTACTATGACATTTAGAACCGACTGGAGGTCAGAGGAAGAAGCAACCCGGTACTGCTCCAGCAAGGTGAGCTGCCCAGCAGACATGGGGGAAGAGTGGGGGACAGGTAATCCTGCGTGCGGATCATTTCCGGCTCACTGCCATCGTTGTGATGATCAAATGTCCAATCAGGGGCCTCGACTTCGACTTAGCCTATTAATCTCACTCTTACTGTCCTACATGTGCACGCATTTGTGTTACTGCATCATTCGCTCAACTCTTGGGCGCTTCCAGACTTCAACTTACGCAAACGTAAGGTGTGTTGGAGGTGGCACACGTGATCGCGCTTCTGTCCCTCACGTGCTCATCAGAGCAAACATTTGAATACAAGATATGCGTTTTTAAGTTTGAACTGACCTGGATAATGGTTTCCCTTTTATCGTCCGACTCTACCACTGCTGCGGAAGATGTCCAGCGAACTAACACTTTGGCTGTCACCTCACTACCCAAGACTTTCTTCGAGCCACGTCTCCTCGATGTTCTCCGCTCCCACTTCTCAACATATGGCGAGATAAATCGATGGGTTCCGCTCCCTGGATTCAGTCGTATCCTTATCGTCTATACGCGCGAAGACGACGCTGAATCCGCAAAGATTCACTCGGACCCTATCGTGCTTGATGAAACGGACGGTCGGTATGCACCTGTATCTTCCTCGGCTGCTTCTAGACGCTCACCTACGCGTCCCACAGCGACCAAATCACACTTCGCGTTTTCCGTGCAGATCCCAATCCCTTGCTTCCAACCTCCGACAATGACTCTTCTATTCCCGATGTCAACTATCTCCGCCCTCCAGATCTGGAGAAGAACTTCCTCATTTCACCCCCCGGATCGCCGCCCGTCGGTTGGGAGCCCATCCGCGAAGATCCACCCAACGCAATTCCATTAGCGGATGACCTGATCGTTGCATTGCGGAAGCTTCAATTACAAGAGCGCGCGCCTGCAGGTGTGGAGATACTTGTGGAACCAAGTGATGGTGGTGTGGGTGTGTATGTGGAGGACTGTGACGGCGAACCAGAGGAAGATGAGGCTGACTGGGTGTATGGTGAATCGGCTCCAACGCGTCTGAAATGGCGCCCCGTTGCCACGGCCATGCCGCCGACATCCCACTTTTGGTGCGTTCAGTCCTTGGTCATAACATGACGAAAAACATTCAGACCTGTTCCGACTCTCGGAGTTTGAGGACAAACGAATATTGCCTTTTTTTCTGATCTTTTTTGTCTGCATCGAGTTGCTGCAGATGCTTACTGTCCTCTTTGTTACAGACTTGATGACTTGAAGAGCGGAGGTTGATTGTATCTATAAGAAAGGTGTGTATGACATCTTTGACTACGTCTGATGAAACAACATACAGACCTGTTCTGACTCTTATGGAGACAAACTTCTATTGCCTTTTTTCTGATCTTTCTTTCTACCCATTGGGCGTGTTCCACTGTAACTGATGCGTAATCCTAGGACTGCTCATGTATACGTACGGACACGATATGTACATTGCATATATTGTATCTCGAGGAATATCTCAAAGCAAGACCAGATGAAACGACGGACCGACCATTTCCCTGCATATATGGCACGCGCGGCTGTCCAGCATCAGCTCAAACATAACCGTTCATTAGCAAACGTTCTGTGACTGCTCTAGCATTTTCTAGGAAGTCTGCGGTTGTTTTAGTGGGTTTCCAGCCCAGAGCACGTCCTTTTCTCGCCCTGCATCGGGCATCGGACCCAATCAAGGCTGCAAGGAAGCCCCACTCAGCAGCATCGAGCTCCTCCTCGCTGAATGATGTTGGCGCTGGAGCCTGTCCTTTTCCATGTTCATACAGGACCTGGGAGATCACGGCGCACAGATCCTCCAGCACGTGGCTCCCGTTCTCCGCAAAGTAAAGTCCGGACTGGCCGTGCGGTGTGCTATCGGGATTCGAGATCGCCGCGTCAAACAACACCATGAACAGATCACCCACTGAAAGAGAGATCAGTCAATCATCCTCGCGCATGCATGGACCAGAGCCGACTGACATTCATTCAATTCCACGTTGTGCCACATGTTCTTCCCTTGACCGACCATCCCGCCTTGGCCACGCGTCATTGACAAGCTGACGAGGTAAGACAAGACCGAGTTTTGCCTATTCTGGATCCCCGCATTGACAAGCAGGCCATGTGGGATGCCGTACACCGTCGTCGGCAGGATAATATAACTTTTGATGTAGCCTGTGTGAGTTGAATTTTCTGGATGCAGCTTAGGATGCCCAACAGAAGGACAAACCTTGTTCGTCAGCGGCCAAGAATTCGAGATCTACGGCGCGATGGATTTGGGTCGGCTGAATAGCGGACATTTGGGCGTCGTCCAGATCATCAAACACAAGAGAACTGGTGTGTCCGCCGTTAACCGTGCAGTCTGCGATCGCGCCTGTCCTTCGTTGAACTTTGAAATCAGGAGATGACAAACGAGATCACCTGCTCCCGACTGAGATGTGTGTCAGCATACGGTTTCAGGGCACAACAAGGGCGCGCTCACGGTGTGAATGACGACCACCGGCCTGCCGGTTTCTTCGAATCGTGCCTCGGATCCAGCCAGGATGGCCCGCTTTGCTTGGACATCGACTGTGTCCGCCTTCGTTCCAAGGTCAGCGGCGCTCGACTCATCCGTCCGTCCAAGGCGAACGTACCACTGAGAACACCACATCCGCCTCCTTCGCAAGTTTGGTCAGCAGATCCAAGTCGCCATTGGAGCCCCGATGGACCACGATGTTCTCGACGTTGCCGACAGTGCGAGTCAGCTTTTCGGCTTTGGCTGCATCTCTAACCAGCGCGGTGATTTTGAATCCGTCGGCCTTGGGATGTGAGAGCAGCTTGGAGAATACGGTTCCTCCAATGTAGCCTGAATGAATCATTCATCCTGCTGTGCACTGCGCTCATACAGTCTGAAATACCTGTTGCACCGAAAAACAAGATGTGGTGGTGGTGGTGGTCAAACATGGCGATGATAGGTGTGAAAAGGATCGCCGAAAATAGTGAAATAAATACCCGGTTCGGACTATCACATCGAATGACCGAGCATTACCATGGCCACCTCCCCGTCATCCATGCAGCGTTTGAGTCAGTCGAGAGCGCGCTCCAAGCCTCATTATTGCCGTGACACGCGTCCAGGTCCAGCATGCGGGAATGCTGCCAGTGGCTATCTCCGTGCTTCTTGGGCTGCATGTTTTCGCAGGATGCGGGTCCCGCGGAATTCATAGTCGGTTCCGCGGAGGAAATTCGGCACGTATCCGTGCATGGTGGCCTGTTGGGAAAAGGATATTGCAGCGGACAGTGGCCCGAAAAGGACACGGAGCTGTGTAAATGTGGGCGATGTCAAGGGCTCAGTGCTAAATGTCAAGCATCCTGGGTTCTCGTTCTAGAACACGGTCACGTGAGCACAACTGCGGCTACTGTACCCACCAACTTACCGCTCACTGTTGGGAGTCATGTTCCCCATTTCAAATCCGAGTCTCGTATCGAGGACGAAGATCGCGCACAAACAGTAGGCTCCTGATGAATCCGGATCGCCGCCCCACAATGATGCACGAATTTATCGCTACACGGCCAAAATTTACGATATGTCACGCTGCGCTCCGTGCTCCGGGCCTGAGCGTCGACAGGTCGAATCTGTCCTTTCGTCCCAGATACCAAGCGTACTCATATAGCATTAATAATTCCAAAGGTAACTCATACATGTCTAGATAAGCAACATTTACAAATCCTCAGTCAGCGCAGCCTTCTCAATGTCAGTCGCTGTAATACTGCTCTTGTCACACAGAGAGCGGAACAAACTGGACTCGTTCTGAAACAACGCAAGCGGAGAATCAAACTCGGCAATCTGACCGGCGTCAAGGACTACATAGTCGCGGTCAGATCGACTGAGGACCTCGCTGAATACCACTCACCGAGAATCCGGTCGTACGAGATAATCGTCCTCAGTCGATGGGCGATGCATATGAGCGTCTTTTCCCGAAACTGGGTCTGGATCGTCCGCTGGATCTTGCCGTCCGTCTCGAGATCCACCGAAGCGGTGGCTTCGTCGAGGATCACCACACGCGAGTCTTTCACGAGAGCACGGGCCAGCGACAACAGGCTTCGCTCGCCGACACTCAGGTTGCCTCCGTCAGCCTCGATTGCACTGTCGAGCGCAAGTCGACCGGCTTCCGACTCGACGAGATAGGAGCGCTTCAGTGCATCCCACAGTCGGGCATCGTCGTATTTCGAAAACGGATCGAGCGCTGTCCGCACCGTGCCGCTGAACAGTGTCGGCTCTTGAGGGATGATCGCAATGGTGGAGCGCAGATCAGTCAATCCAATCTTGGCGATGTCGACGCTATGAAATGTCAGGAACTGAGCCGCAGAAACATGAAACACAAACTCGTCAACGAGGATCTGTCCCAAGTACTCCACGATCCGCAGCAGACAGAGCGTCAAAGACGACTTGCCAGCACCGGTGCGTCCAACCACACCGATTTTCTCTCCCGCTCTAATATTAAGCGAGATCCCATGCAAAACATTCGGCAGTCCCGGTCGGTAAGCCATCACGACATTCTTGAACTCCACCGCTCCGGCCGTAGGCCATTCTGGAGCCGGCTTGTTTCCAGGTAGGCTCTCGTGGGCTGCTTCTCGAGGTACGATATCTCCTCGAGCATATTGGACGACTGCCCAAGAATTGAATGGCAGCTCATTGTGAGGTGCGGCAGACAAACACACCTCGTTCGACAGAGTTCATGTAATTCTGGCCAGCGTCAGATTCAAGCTGTCAGCAAGTAGAATTGCGGCCACTCACCTCGACTTCGGCAGACAACCGAGTCGTCACCGAAAACATTTGGGTGAGAGACACTGATATGGCCATGAGCATGAGCACAACCAACCGACTAAGACACTCACTAGTGTACGTCAGAATGAGCCCAATCTCCGCTGGACTGATTCCTGACACCCCCACTGCACAGAGGATTCCGACAAGGAACGTCAACGTCGAACCCAGCGCATCCAACCGCACGGCAAGCCAACGTTGATTTGTCACCGTCAAGAATAGCGCACGGTTTTCCAGATCGATGTAGTACTTGTTGTCTTGCACAAAGCGGTCCAGCTCGCCATAACTTCGGATTGTGGGCAGTCCCGTGAGCGACTCGGACAAATGCGCGTAGAGGATCCCGCGAAGAAGCGAATCGATGCGCTTCATCTCGAGGGCACTCGCGCGGTAAAATTGAGCAAAATAGGCAAATCCGAAAGTAATGAAGAAGGCGGCGATGACTGGGGATGATGGGTGAGCAAGGGCTTGTTCGCGAAGACAGACGGCCCCTTACTGAAGTAATGTTCCAGGACGGTGATGACAACGACAGACCCGACAACGGTTGCCAGCACCAGGAGAACTGTAAAAAGCGTTCAACCCTCGTTTAGAGCATCCACATACACGCATGACTTACACATTCGAAAGGACATAGGCAACGAATTGTCGATGGTGTCTATGTCCTTGCCGAACTAGAGGCACACGTCAGTTTCGATCAGTGGCGCACTGGGACACGCATACTATGCTGATGATCCGACCCATGGGCTGAAATATGATAATCAGGGACGACCTCGTTGCACAAAGTACACTTACAGTAGTATCAAAGAACGACATGGGGGCCCGGAAGACATTCAGAATGGCATCGCGATGTAGATTTCTAGACACCTGAACGGCGAACAGATCGAGAAAGAGTCCCAAGAGGTATGTGAAGATGGTCTGCACGACCCCGGTCAACGCGTAGAGCACCTGATAGAACCCCCTCGATTTGTGAAATGTGCTGGGGCCATCAATATTTCAAAACGCGTGCGCATACAGCGATTGAACTCACTTGCTTTCCCACCACACAAGCGAGTACGAATTCACGATCGCAGCACTTTGCATCACCGTGGCGGCAGCAGCAATGAGTGCAGTCAAGATGAGACCACCCGACTTCGAGTAGTATCCGTAGACTAGAAGAGAATTAGTGCTCCTCACAATCGGCGGCCAGGTCTCACTTACTACTCCACTCAACGCCCCCGGTGGTTCGCACCTCTTTGGCCACCAGGCGGCCTTCAATCTTTCCTGTGCCAGTAGCACTTGCTCTCGCTGCCTTGTCCTTGGCCTCCTGAACAGTAACGACTTGAACTTGGGTCTGCCCTCCCTCCTCCGACGGCTCCTCTTCTTGAGCTTCTCCACCAAACTCCTGATCTAGCCGAGCGAACTCTCCGCCTTTAGCAACCAACTCGGCATGCGTTCCAGCCCCGCAATCGAGCCATTATCGAGTGTGTAGATGTAGTCACATTGAGAGAGAAAGTGCAGAGCATGTGTGACCAGAATTACAGTCTTGCCCTGGGCGACAAGGCCTTGGATGGCAGTACGAAAGAGCAGCTTCCCCACGTTGGCATCAACAGCGGACAGAGGATCGTCAAAGATCACGACGTCAGCACCGTAGTATAAAGCACGGGCTATGTTGACACGCTGTTTCTGTCCCCCAGATAAGTTGATTCCTTTCTCACCACTTGAACGCAGTCAGTTGAAGATCAGACGGCGATTTCCTATTTCATAGCTCACATTTCCGTCAGATCACCATCAGCCAGCAACTTGAGATCAGGTAGGAGGCAAGCATCCTCAATCACGCTCCAATACTTGTCTTCATCGAAAGGCTGCCCAAATAAACATTGTCGCGCTTGGTAGGGATCATGCCAGGTGTTGATTTGCAGGGGTAGACACACCAAAGTCGCATTTGGATCCATGCGGATTGTGGACAATAAGCCACCCGACCGCCAAAAGACCATCCTCCACCCTTGAGCTCATCTGGGCACCGCATTTCTCCAATCAGACCCTGCAAAAGACTAGACTTGCCGCTGCCAACGCGGCCGACGACGGCGGCCAAAGTTCCTCGGGGAATATGCATGGTGATGTTGCTGAGTTTGAAACGGTTCTTCATCATCATCTTTTTTTCTCAGCATCTTCAGGTTGTTTCTTTTTCTTTTTCTTCTTGGCATCTTCTTCCGACTCAGGTGGCGCGCCTTCCCAGATCCAGCTCACTCGTCGACGCGGACACCAAGCTCTTGTTGCTCGTCCACTTTGAAATGGCGCTTGACTGCGCAAGCTCGCATGCAACACAATCGAGAGCCGCGCGAGAGCATTGCGAGCATCACCGTCGCTGACATCGCGCGCGGCAAGAACA